AATTTTGTTTGGCAACAATTTTAATTCGGCAAGTAAGTGAGATCATTTTTGCAGTGTAGGAGCTTGACGTTAACCTATTTTAGCTATTCCCAAACCAGTTTTGACGCATCTTTGAGATCATTGTCATACTTGAATGTCTAAATGTGTCCAAGTCTCATTATCGTTTTACCCAAATAGTCAGCCTGTGTTTGACAAAAATGATTTAGTATGTTCAGGAGCAACTAGGTGATCATAAACAGCGGATTTGAGCTCATGTGTGCAAACTTCACTTAATGTTGGAGCCTGTGTATGATTTAAACTATCTGTTGATAAAGAAACACACAATAGTGTAAACCATAAACAATTTATTTGAGCTTTATGTTGAATATTCATAAATTAATGAAATATTTTGCACCCTTAAAAGCCCCAAAAGAATGTGAAAGTAGGATAAGCAGTTGATGCAATCTAGAAACTGCAAAGGCCTACTGCAAAAGGTTGTTTATTGTCCTTAGTGACTGAAATTGTAAAGGTCTATCACTATATCTCGATTAGTGATGAGATACTGGGTGTTATTTATTCAAGGAAAGCTTATTCATGTAGTAGATTTCAAGGGCAAGATAATTCAAAGTGATTTCATAAAAAATCTGGGTATGCAGAGTAGATTAGAGACAGCGGTTGATACACTAACAAGTCTATCATTTGTTTTGCTGCTAAGCCACCTAATAACATACATTTTTAAAGTCTATTTTCCGACATACGGAGTCCTTTAGAACTTTAGAGCTGGAAGTGATGTGCTCCACTTGCTTAGTTTAAGTAAGGAAGCAGGCAACAGCAGTTTGGATCAACTTCAACTGTCTGATTGAGCAGTTCTGAAGTGCAGTTCTTACCAGACACATAAGTTCATAAAAAGCATTAAAACTAATATCATTCTGATCAGTAAAGAGGTTCTACGTTAACTTTGTTTAATGTTTGTTTAACTTTTGCTTGGGAAAAAAAAAAAAGGATCATCGTGATGATCCTTTTTATATATATATATATATATATATATATATAGGTAAGACGAGCAATGTTATAAAAAAAACTAAAAAACAGTTCATAGAGATCCATATAAAAAAAAAATTTGGTTTGAGTGAGGATAGATAACTTCTTTTTTAATTAAGAAATGCAGATATATTTAATAATATTGTTTAGGTTATGTCCAGGAGGACCAGCATTCTTTTAAAAACTCTGAAGGAAACTGAATTTATGTACATCAGAAACATTAAGTAAAGACGATTATCTTGAGTTTGTACACATATGTGTGAGAATCCACATTTCTGCAGGTTTTTTACGTTTGTCCCATATGGACCTTGATGTCATGCAGAAAAACACTTGAGTGTGTGTGTTATGCTGCGTTCAAACCACAGGCGGTGATTTCCACGAGCCCCGCAGTGAGTTTTCCGCTTTTCATTTCAGAAGATGCACACTTTTTACATCCTGGACCACATCATCTAATAGGAGGAGCTTCAGCTGCGTGAAGCTGACACTCCACTGAATGCTTATTGCTTCTTTATTCCAGTTTTGTGCATTTTAAAGGGTCATTTGGAAAAATAGATAAAGATCATATGTGCTGCTGTTGTATCAGAGATATTAAAAATAATTTTTTTAGGTCACCCAATTATCCGCCCATTAAGCTCTGAATTGAATCAAAATTATCTAGCCTACTTTTTAAGTGCTACTTCATTTGTGCAGGTAAAACTGTCATTTGTGCTGATTTGGTTTTAAGATTTTAAATGAATTTGTTTAATTTCTTGAATGATTTTGTTGTTAAACATTGATTTTCTTTTAAAAAGGAACTTAAGTTGACATTTACTCAACTGTTTGAGCCAACAAAGTTGGTTCAAAAAAAGCTGTTTTTCTTTTTTGGCTCATGTTTTAATCCAGACAGATTCCTAAAAGGAACTATCTCTGGTCCTGGACAGCATGAACTGTAAGCCCCACCCCCAAACATTTTCCCCTATCACAAATGCTACTTAACTCCTACATACAGAAGATTATAAATTGTTTGTGCACAATTCTCCAGAGCACCGTTTTACTTATCAGTCGTAGATAATATGTAACACTAGCAAAAAGTAACACACAGCTACGAGCTGCTAATGAAGCAATATTCCATCCATCCATCCATCCATCCATCCATCCATCCATCCATCCATCCATCCATCCATCCATCCATCCATCCATCTTCTCCAGCTTATTCCATCAGGGTCACAGTGGGGCTGGTGCCTATCTCCAGCAGTCTACGGACGAGAGGCGGGGTACAGCCTGGACAGGTCACCTGTCTATCGCAGAGCAACAGAGACATACAACCATGCACACATAGACTCACATAATCTAGAGCAATTAACCTGACAATCATGTATTTGTCCTGTAGGAGTACCCAGTGAGAATCCACATATTGGTGGAGAGAACATGCAAAGTGCATGCAGAAAGATCTTGCGCTGGGAATCGAACCTTCCGGCTGAAAGGCAATAGTGCTACAAACTGCACCACTGTGCAGCACTAAAGCAATTAATTTTGATATCAAGTGTTTATGAGGTCAGTTTTAAAGCAAATTAGCTGTCACTGAGCTGACATGTTTTTATGGTCAAAGATTAGCTGCAATAATTAACAGATACAGAAAATGGAATGATGATGGTTACACAGGCAGCTTTCGGAAATATTGTCAAAATTATCACCACAAAACTTTGCTTGAGTCTTGATGTTTTGGATTCTAGAGGACTAACATTTAGAAAACATTTTTTTGCCTCAAAGCAGTTCATGTGTTGTATTTCAAACTAGCTTTTCAGAGAGAATGATAATTATTTTCTGATTATATTTCTTAAACTGGAACAGTCACTAGAATTCTCACCCCAGAAACGGTTCTTATCTTACATATGTTAATATTAACCCATGACACCATAAAAACAGCTGAAACACAAAAGCAAGGTTATGTATTTAACTAAGCAGTCCAGGTTGCTGTTCTGGTTAATCATTTTAGATATTAATGGTGGAACTATGACACCTATGGCTGATTTATACTCAGAAACAGGTCATCTGTGTGTGTGTGTCGCACTTAACGCAGATATGCCCCCGCCCCTTCTGGAGACACTCTGGTGCACCTCCCCAAAATTGTAGGTGACTGCAGACAGTGCTGCAGACAGGAGGACTCTGATTGGTTAAATCTACATCCTCTCTTTACTGTGTATATTTCCTGTTTGGTACCTTACTGGCTTGTTTTGTTTGTATGAACGCCATTGTGGAAAACAACTTGTGAAGATGGACCAGCTAGAAGAGCGAGGTGCGCAAGAATGCTGGGACCCTTTTCCACCTGGGTTCCCATTCTTTTTCGCCCTCATGTCCCTCTGTTGTTGCACAAAGTTGCCCCCACTTCCTCAAAGCCTCAGGGGTATCTAGATCCACAGCTAGTTTGTGATTGTCCCTCTTACGTGGTGGCAAAATTGGGCATACATCAAAAATGTCTGCGTCATACCAGCGACAAGCTCACTGCAACACACTGCTGTGGGAGTATAACCAGCCCTTTAGAAGTCAAAGATACATTCTGTGTGACATTTGAGGGATTAAAGTGTCAGGGTTGGGTTGTGGTTTAGAGCAGGCATCCCCAACCTCGGTCCTCGAGGCCCACTGTCCGGCAGGTTTTAGAGGTTTCCCTGCTTTAGCACAGCTGATAATGATTGCAGTAGACCAAAAGTCCTGTTAATCAGCTTTCAATTAAAATCAGCTGTGCTGGAGCAAGGAAACCTATAAAACCTGCAGGACAGGGGGTCTGATGGACCGAGGTTGGGGATGCCTGGTTTAGAGGACCCAAATGCAGAGGCAGAGTGGCTGAGGTGATATCTGCAGTTTAATTGGTGAAAACAGTAAACAAAGGCAGGAATCCAAAATCCAACTTAAAATGTAACACAAACCATAACCATGGAGACATCAGGGGAAAACAATCAGCAACAGCGAAGGGGAACCAGCGATGACAGAACCAGCGACTACAGAGGAACCAACAAGGAGTGACAGCAGAGGGAAAGGCAGGGCTAACGAGCTGATAAGGAGCAGGTGTGAGTGGAGACAACGAGGAAACCAAGGGAAAAGGAACAAACACAAGAGGGCAACAGAGGACAACAACAGAAAAACCTGAGAACTAAAATAAATGTAAGCACTCAAAGTAGGAAATAAACCAATAAAACAAATGGATCAAAGTAAAACAGAAAGTAAGACCGTGACATAAAGGACTGATTAGAGCTAAGATGCATTTAGTCTGTGATGCGTAACACATCATTTCAAATGACCGTGTTGATATTTGCAAAGATTCAATGTAGGAAAATTTAATATTCAAGCAGTAGATAAACCACATCCTGATTCCCTTTCTCCTGAAGATCAGGTCTGTTCCTTAAACTGTTAAATCCCTGGGTATAATTCTAGCTGCATAGTAACAGACATGTTACTGTTTTAGAAAGCATTCTGGTCCTTCCGTTCCTGTAGTGTGTTGTTTCAGCATCAGTCTTTCCAGTGATGTTCCATCTAAGAGAAACATTAAATTAGTTCTTTTCTTAGGGGAAAACGTGGCAACTTCCAGATTTCTTTGGTTGCTGGTCTGCATGCTGCTTATATCCTGAGGATTTTAAAGTCAGTGTCTGCTTACCGTCGGTGTCAAAATTGTCTCTGTAATGACAATGATGTCAGAGGGCCGGCAGGAATCCCCTGTGAGCCTCAGAAGTATTGCAAAAACAATTTGACAGTTTGGTGTGAAGTCCAGAGAGCAGCAAGCAGGGAAGACAAATTTCTTTCTCCCTCTATTGAGTCATCTCACTGTGTTATTGTTCTCTTTCATGCATGCCTGTCATAGCTGCTGTCCAGCCATGCGATTAAGAGGGAGCGCAGTTTGCAGAGCTTAATATAGTCTATAATGTATACTATTCTGGTGTTTAATTAAACAACATTTTAGATTCATTGTGTGATGATGCCATCTGTGTTTTCTTTTTTATCGTTCCCAGGTTCTTCGATTATTTTTTCCTTTCCTGCGGTTATGAAGGCTCCCAGTCGGCACTCAGGAATGTCCTCCGTCTTTATTGTGTGATATGACTAAACCCACGTGATCTGGACGCCATGATGGCCTCGATGGTTGCCAATGGAAACAAAGATGGGAAGTCTCTGGTCTTAAAAGGGGTGGACCCCGAGACATGCATGATTGTGTTTAAGAACCACTGGGCTCAGGTAAGGCAGCAACAGGAGCTTGTTCTTAACATTTTAGGAGATACGTGTCTGTAGTTTACATCACTTTCATTAAAAAATTAACTCATTTGTTATTGGTTCATGACAATATAAGATTGAGATCAATACAGCTTAGAGTCAATTAAGGTTTTACGTTCTCAGAAAGCAGGAAAACGATGAAACAATAATAAAGGACCAGATTTTTTACCAGGCTTTTTCCATCCACTCAACCTTTCACTATTATGCTTTGTATTAACAGTTGGAGCAGCCAGTTTATTTAGGAGTAACCTTTATGGGACTTATTTGTCTTTATTAGCATTGATCATGATGAGTAGCTGAAATGCACATTTGAAGTGTGTCATCAGTCTCTATTTTTTGCTATTTATACCTTGGATTACTGAAATAAATAGTTTTTGATTTGACCTCGATCTAAATTGTTTAAACTCACCAGTACATCCTTGAAATAAATGTGAGTTTACATTCATTTAAACTGTAGGCCTAAAGTTTCTTCTTTCCCCCCCCCCCCCCCCCCCCCCCCCCCCACCCCGACCCCCCCCAAAAAAATTGCATAACTGTAATTAATAAATATAAATATGGTTATTAATTATTCAGCAAGAATAGTGCAAATACCTATCAGGATCAGTGTTTAACAGTTTCCTCCCTCCTGTCCCATTTTCCCCCTTTAAACCAAGCTTCCATATAAAAAAGGCCTAACTTCTGCCTTGAGGCTCTGAAAGTAAAAGTGACCTCAGTAAACTTGAGTGTGGTGAGGGCTGCTGGAATCTTGGCAGCGTGTAGCACTTTGCCTCAGACTCTTGGCTCTTTAAAGCAGCATGTGTCCATGTTTACCCCTATGGGACCAGAAAGCCTGCTAATTCAGAGCTGCTCTGCTCACGCTGACATGTGTGATGATGGGTAGACGGTACAGAGATACAAGAGTCCAGTAGGTTCTAACAGTGCTGATTAACTATGTGGTTTTATTTTAGTCTAATTCAACATTTCTTTACCTACGATATGTGCTGTGTCTGGCTGTGTGACATTGTGTAAAAGAATAAATGCCTTTTTTGGGAGGGTGTAGCTTTTATTAACGCTCTCTGGGATTTTTTCCTTCAGTTTGTGATGTATAGTGGAGATGTTAAATATGGTTTAATTATTTTCAAGACAGAGAATACATGTAAAAATGTTATTGTTGAATATATTTTTCTAGTTAATTGATCTCATCAATAGACTGAAAACTAATTGATGAAAAATAATTTTTCCTAAAAATTTCAGCTTTGTCAAGAGGGTCTTACCTTAACAAGTGGCAGATTTTTTTCATATGCTGATTTAAAAATAAAGAAGCAAATGTGTAAGCTGTGTTAAATAAACTGGCAGGTTTTTTTCTGCACTTTGTTTCTCCCATTGAATCTGTTATGGGTGGGAAGGGGGGGACGTAAAGCAGATAATTTCAGTTAATTGGACAAAGAGACATCTATTGCCGCCTAACAAAGTTTGGTTTTAGCCAATCAGGGTAACAAATAGAATAGCAGCAGACGCCATAACAAATCTCAAAGAATTGTGCTTTTACCCCTTTGTTTGCCCACTTTAAAAGATGAAATTGTGGATTCTGACAAATGTGATTGCGACAGCTACATGTACATCCTCCTGCACTGCCATGTTTGTTTGGCTCTGCTGTGGGCTCACCAGCTCTTGCTTTGCTCAAAGTTTTATGGGCCGCTTTAAAACCAAAATGCTCCAAGATGATTGGCCCACCTGTTTCAGGTCAGACTGGAACAATTTAAGCTGGAGCTGCACAATATGATTCCAGTGCACAAATAATAGAAGTTAGTTTGCAGTCTAGGATAGGATTTGATAGTTGCACATTATCTTAAAATGCATATAGCTATAAAATAATCCAAAACAAGTACCCGTTATCTTTCTAAATAGGTTAATAATAACACAAAGCCAGAGATTTGGTAAAACATGGAGAAGTTGATGCAGTGTGGAGTGAATATCCTTTAAATAAAATACAGTAAAAAAAACAAAATACATGAAGTATGGTCTCTCTTTATGAGGATTGTTTGGCTGTAAAATGGGATTAATTTCTTTATGGATTAATTTCTTTGGATGAAAACTTCAGTCGGCCATCTTCCATCTTACAATGGATTAGTGAGATGCTCGCCAGGCTGGGTTAGTGGACATACGCACCCAAGGTTCACAAGAGGGGATAACTGTTAAAAGACCATTTTGAACCTCTAGTGAAGGTGAAACCATATGAACAGCTTTAAATGCAGCTTGATCCTGAATAAAAACATGTAGCCTGTTGTCAGGTAAAGGTTATCAGAGACTGGCGGCTGCTCAGTCCCTCCTTTTGTAAGAAGGAAGCTATTAACATCATTTAATACCTGCGGGGTCTTTATTCCTGTAGTTTGTTCATCGATAGCCTGATAAAATTGTCCTTTACTTTTAGCTAAAATGTTTAGAAATCAGATTAACATAGGGTGACCACCTGCTAATAAGCCCAAGGGGGGACAAGGGGTATGTTTCTGGGGGACAAAGTGGGACACTGCTTGGTGTAGTGGTGACCCCACCTCACGGGCAGACTCACTGATAGAGGTTTACACATTTCTAGCACATACCACCTTACATGGTATATTAATAATGTCCTATTCCCATAAACATGTGTAATTGCTGATGTATGCTCATGAATAGGCCAACCAATGTGTATTTCTTTCTAAATAAAGATTCATAATACTTTGAACATTCAATGAACAGATGCACTTCCAATTCCGATTTAATTTAGCTATTCAATTTTATTTATTTTTTATTACAATTTATTCACTTTAAATAAATTATAATTTGAAATTAAAGGATTAACAGGAATTGTAGTTGCTCTACACCACAGGAACTGTAAAAAAAAAAAAAGGCTTAACTCACGAATCCAGAGGTTCACGGAACGAGAAGGGGGAGGAAGGATGGTGAACTTGGATGTTGTTTAAAGCAGGAACAGGAAAAAAAAAAACTGTTCAGTGTTCCGGGGACACCTTTACCATTGCTGGTGGAGATGCCTCACACTCAGTCTCTTTCTCCATCTTCTAATTGGAAAGCGCGCCTCTAAAAGTTTCTTCCCAGTTAATGCGCAGTTCCAACTGATATTTTACGCGAGCGCGCTTTTTTTTACGTCACCGCGCGTTCTGGCTGCATTCTTGGAAAATGTTTAGACCGGCCACTGATGATTCAAATCACAAAAAAGTGGTAGACAGACGTTTAAAAATTGACTTCAAACATTTAATCTCATGAATTTGGGCTTTCACTGCCATCTACTGTCATATGAGAGTAAGTACAACTTGACGACCATAAGCTTTTTCATATTTCATATTGATTATGCGTGACACGGTCTCAATTTGCGTGACGAATGAATTGGGCTTCAAACGCTGTGCGCGCACGCGCTACGGGTGGTCACCCTAGATTAACACGTCTCTTTAAATATTGACCTTGTTCCTCAGCAACTGTATCAACTTGTTTGAACCCTGATTGGGTTTATCCTCATTTGCTGTGATTGTATCTGCAGTTCTCCTGCCTAAGCCCAACTTGTTGTTTTTGTTTTGCCGAGCTTAATACTTCCAACAACCTTTTACAGCAAAGTGTAAATATGTGGTCAGTTTGTCACCTGATCCCTCCTAAATATGATCAATACCTGTTGAATTGAACCTTACAAAATCTACAAAAGTTGACACAACTTTAGGCTTCCTGTTTTAGTGATGCCTAAAAAACACACATTGGCTTTGCAGTTTGCAGCAAACCAGTTTTTATATTTTCTTGTTTATTTTGCATGTTTAGATTTAGTTTTTGTTTTCTTTTCCACATTCAGCTTAAAGGAGTTAAAACAAATACCTAGTAAATAACTTTTGCACGGAAAGGCATCTTAAAAAGAATATTTAAAAATATTTTGACGTTTAATTTAGGATTTTTATCCTCTTACATACATTACTACACTGTTGCATGATCCAGTTAGGAGAGAGAAGGCAGCAATTTGACACCAGCACCGCGTGAGGAACCTCCCGTTCCACATACTGTTGTGCCAACACCCAGAGTTCATCCATATGAAAAACTAGTCCAGAGACTCCAGATGAAAACTCAGGCCAGTTTAACCAAGTCACACCTACTTTTCTATTCCATTTTCAGAAGTGTTTTAACTTTCTGTTAAAAAAACTCCTCTGAAAAGTTTAGGAAACGCAGGCAAAATGCAATTATACTTCTATCATATAGGAGAGTGGAGGAGGAAAATGGATGAGATGGTATTGTCAAAGAAAAAAGGAGGATTATTGGGGTGAAAAGGATACAAAATGATCTCTAATCAGTAATTTTTCAGATGTAGGCATGTAGAGATAAAGTCCAACGGATGAAAGAAGGGACGGTGGGGGGTTTCATGTTTCATTTCTGAACCAGCTTCCTAATTTCTGTTGTAAACTTAAGTTAACCAGTTTAGAAAATGTATTAAATGTTAACCTGTTCTACTTGCTGTAGTATCATCCACTCTAAAAGAGCCTTCAGAACTATTGGACCTCAAACCTCTTCTAATTCTAAGAAAATAAATACAGGATTAAAAAGAGGTTCTCTTTCAGATCTCCTATCTGTTAATGTTACAAGTTAATGACATCGTTTTCATCCTCTTTTTAAAATAATAATAATGCTGACCTGCTTATTTTCAGCCAAAGCAGCGATGAGCAGAAACAAACACATGTACCCTTTAGTTGAAGTAGATGTTTGCAAACTCTAGTCCTCTCCTGGCAGATAGATGAAGTAGGAAGAGCCAGAATGAAGCTGAGCGTTAAAGTTCAAACCACAGAGTCCATCAGGCCCATCAGACCACGGCTGGGATTACAAACTCTTTCCTAGTTTCCAGTAGCCATGCCCAGTTCTCTCAAACACAACCAGCCATTGTCATGGCAGCAATGTCAGGCTGGGGACACTGGGCCTATTATCAGGACTCTGGTTTCTACACATGGGAGAGTCTGCAAGCAACAAAAGTCAGTTTTATTCTGTGTCAGCTAGTTCAGTTTATTTGTTTACGCCTGCTTCCAGCAGACAGATGGCCGTCAGACAGAAGAGAAACTTTTAGCTACTTTATGTCTTATTGCTGACTTACCTAATAAATGCAGAATTACCTCATGTGTAATAACTTATTTCTCCAAATTTAAGTGAATATCATTTTTCCTCCTTGTTACACATAATCATAGTTTTTTTTTATTATGAGCTTATGCAGAAAAAAATGCTTAAAGAGAAGAGTAAAAATAAACACTGTTTCAGTTCCAGGGCAAAAATAACTGCTAGTTGACATGAAAGTGGCTGATAAGTTTACCTGCAAATAAATAAAATCATCTTCTGGTCTTGATTTAAAAACTCATGAATCTAATATACTTCTTTTTGTTGGCAGTTAAAGTTGTTGTTGCATAAAAGTTCTCAAACATGTTCCACCAATGACATGTTTCTCCTTCTAGGTTGTGAAGATCCTTGAAAAGCATGATCCGCTGCGTAGCAGCTCAACGCTGCCCTCCCTCATCAGCCTCAGCGGTGGAGCTAGTGGAGGCTCTCGCTTTGGCCCGATCCCAGGAGATGAAGCCAGCGCCGTGCAGAACTACGTGGAGCACATGCTTCTCCTGCTGATGGAGGAGGAGAGCGGTCCGGACGGGGCGATGGGTCCTATCCTGGAGTTCGTGGTGATGGAGAACGTGATGGAGCGCCTGTTTGTGTGGAGCCTGCGCAGAGAGTTCACAGATGACATGAAACTGGAGCAGCTGAAGATGTACGAGATGCTGGTGGGCCAGTCGCGCCAGCCTCTGCTCCATCACAAGCCCATCCTGCGGCCGCTGATGATGCTGTTGTCCTCCTGTTCGGGCACGGGGGGGCCCGCCGTCGAGGCGGAGCTGGTGCTGCTGCTCCACCAGTTGTGCTGCGTTCTAGCAAAAGACCCTTCCATCCTGGAGCTGTTTTTCCACACAAGTGAGGATCAGGGGGCCACCAACTTCCTCATCTTCTCCCTCCTCATCCCCTTCATTCACAGGGAGGGCAGCGTGGGCCAGCAGGCGAGGGACGCCCTGTTGCTCATCATGTCGTTGTCTGCTGAGAATGAGAGGGTGGCCAAACATGTTGCAGAGAACACCTACTTCTGTCCGGTGAGTCTCAAACCAAACATTCTATCCTTCTTAATTTTGTCCGCAAAAAGATTTAAAATTCCTTTTCAATTCAGCTTTTATGTTTCGAAAAGAAATAATCCATGCTGTTCATATTTATTCAAATATGAGAGTCCCTCGGTGTAGTAATTTGTTACATTGTCAGATTGATTCATTGACCTACTCAAAAAGTTGAAAACACAATCTTGCGTTGATTGTTGCAAATGCCTGACTTTTATAAGATTACAGCTTGTCTAAAAAATAATTCCACATGAATAGAGCTTTTCATCCAGAGCTGCAGGCCTTGCAGTGAAAGAAAGAATTGGATAAAATGCCAGTTAAACAAAACAAAGTATTTCAGATAGCTTGCAGAGGGGACCTCAGGAGAATAAGCATACTGAGATCAGGTATAGCACAATAACAAGTTAAAGTGTAGACAATGATGACTGATTCCCAAACAGTTTTAACCAACAGGTTGTTAGATTTATCAGCAAGCATTTTAGCTAATACTTAATTTGATAATCTTTGGTCTTTCTCACCTTCTGAGTTTAAATGTGTTTTTCATTAAGTCTATATAAACTGAAATAGGATTGTTTTATAGCTAATAAACTATCTACAGGATGTAAATGTGCAAAATCATCAGTCAAGATTAATGTACAAAACTCCCATAGAAGACACTGAAGGCAGTTAATAGTAATTAGAGAAAAGATGTGAGGAGGTCACCAGCTACACTAAAGAGCTGCTGGTGTTTCTATTAAGGGTTTACTGTGGTGAACATGTGACAGCAGTCTCCATTTGTCTGGGCTGAGGTAAAGAAAAGAATATAGGCAGGGATAGAACCTCAGGAAAAAAATGCTTTGGTTCTGATGAAGCTGATACTGAAAACTGTTAGGTCACAATTTAATGAAGCACGTCATGTTTGTTACAGAAACAGTACAGCACTTAATCAAAAGACGTGAAGCTTAATCGGTCTGATGGGTTACTTTTCATCAAGTCAATCTTTTTTTTTATTGGGTGAAATTATGAATAATAAAGATTACCAGATGTTTTATATATTTTGAGTAATTTACCTGGAGGTTGAAGAAGGAAGATTTCTTGCAGTAGCGAGAGACAAGTCAACAAATCAATATGTGAATTACGGACGGACGGATGGATGTTCTGTTGTCTTTAAAAGCACATCTGCATGATAATAATGTATTTTTTGAACAAAAACCAAGAATTAAACACACCGTCATGTAATCTTGGATTTTAGATTCTTCTTTTTTAACATTGTGTCACGTCTCTTAGGTGCTGGCCACAGGGCTGAGTGGCCTCTACTCATCTCTTCCAACCAAGCTGGAGGTTCCCAGCGAGGAGTGGCACTGTTTGCACAAGGAGGAGTGGCTTCGGTTGCCGTCCCTGGTCCAGTTTCTAAACTCACTGGAATTCTGCAATGCTGTGATTCAGGTGAGGCCGTGTGCCTTTTTTTTTTTTTTTTTTTAGAGGACTGAGTCCCCACAAAAACTAACTACGGAGCCTTGTTGTTACTGTTCACCTCCACATTCATTTAAAAATGTGCATTGATTGAACGCAGTACAAATGCCATATGTAAACTATAGATGAATAATGAAAAACCTAAAGACCCAATAGTCAGCCAGATACTGAGTGTGGTCAAAAGGATTAGTGAAAGTTTGTAAAAGGATGGGAAATGCTGGGAGAAAGACTAACGGCAAACTGGGGCAGAGCTGATGTGGTCTTATAGCTGGTGTTTAACAGGCAAGAAGCTGACTGACTGGATGATGGCAGACAATCTGGAACAGTCCAGAATGCCTATGAGGAGCCAGCAAGGACAGGGCAGTACAGGAGTTCACACTGACACTTGGAATTATCTTCATTCAGGAAAGGAGGATGTGATATACTGGCAGGTAGAAATAGGCTGAGTAACAGCTGAGAGCCATGAGGGTGATTGGGAGACAGGCAGGTGCATCCACTTTCTTTAGTTATCATTAGAACAGAATTCAAGAAGACAAAGGCATAAATGAACACAGAGAATTGATTTCCCTGGTTTCTAAAGATGTCCCTGATTCACTCTGAGAAATCAAAATCTGTGAGAAGTAATCCAAACCCTCACACAGTCCACCCAGCGGTGCACAGGGTCTAAATCAGGTCCTCCTGGTGTCCTAAGAAAAGCAAAGGAACTCGATATTCCAGTGTTATGCTGCAACTCTTCCTGACTGCAGACCTCTCTAACATTGCTACTGTTTCCAGGTCGCCCATCAAAGCATCAGAGACCAGTTGGTGGCTTATATTTATAATGGTTTCCTTGTACCAGTCCTTGCACCAGCACTGCACAAGGTTTGTTCTTGTCTTTCTTCTCACTCGTAATCACACTCTAGTAGCAAATGATAACAAATCAGTTGGGTTACCTTTAATCATGTGTATGTTTATAGTGATCATTTGTGTTGTGCCAAATGTATTTGATAGCATGATGCTCCCACCCTTATTACTAAATATGAATTCACTATTAAATTGGCTTTAAAAGTAATTTGGTTGAGATGGATTTCATTTCATTCTCCAAACAAATGCTTGTTTTTATCTTTAAGTTTATGTGCCCCATAAGTTTGTTGTTCTGAGAGGATCTGGTGCTAAGATTAAAAGAAAATAAATACATTTTTCAAACCTCTAAAGTATTCCATCTTTAGCTTTTTGTCTTGATCTAAGCTTCACAGTTACATACAGAGTCCCAGCTGACTGATTTCTATCCCTATGAAGCTCACTTTAGAGGAGGTGATGACCACTACGGCCTACCTCGACCTCTTCCTGAGGAGCGTGACTGAGCCGGCCCTGCTGCAAACTCTGCTCTCCTTCATCCTGCTCCACCAACATGAGGGAGTCTATATTTTGGATACACTGGTCAGCCGCATCAACACTCCTTTCCAGGTACAGGATGAAACCCAGTCAATCACGGACGTGTTTTCTCATTTTTTTAAGGAATATGCATGTTTTATTTACACAGCTTAACCCTTAAGCCAGAGGCTTGTGTTATGGATTGGAAAATTTCTCTAGGACCTGTAGGTGTGGTCATTATTGTTTGACAGGATAATTTTGAGAAGAAAAAAATACAATACTGCTTTTTGTACAGCAAAACTTCTTTTATTTCTGTACGATAAAATAGTTTTTGTCTTATCCTAATATAATTTTTTCTCTCTTAATGGATGCCTCCAGCTGGGAACTGTGTCACTCGCACTTTTTCGTACTCTGATCGGCCTCTACTGCGAGGATGTGATGCTGCAGCTTGTACTAAAGTAAGTGGCCCCTGTGCTGACTTGGCCATTTCTGGAGCTTCAGTTGATTTATGACATGATGAGCTTCTCCTGCCATGATTATCTCTCTCCTCTCATTGCATCCTTCTCGGCCGCCCATTGGTTTCCATGACACGTCTTTCCGTCTCCCCTCTGCAGGTACCTGATCCCCTGCAATCACATGATGCTGAGTCAGAGACGAGTGGTGAGGGAGAGGGACTTCTATTCAGCATCGGCAGCCAAGATTCTGGCGCTGACGCCGTCCTGCTGCTCCCCTGATCGCAGCCCCCCCACCCCTGCGGCAGCTGGACTCCATCCTTTTTTCCAAGCGTGTCGAAACTCCAAAGAACTCCAGCAACACAGGTAATTCAGGGGTATACTGACATTTACACCCATTATAAAAAGACACAACCTCCCTTTCTCTCTGTCTAAAATTAAATCAGACTAAATTCTTTGTCTTTATGGTCAATTACATCTAAAGTCATGTTTCCTAATTTAAAAAATGCCAGAAAAGTGAACAAAATAGTTAGCTTGAACTTTGGCCAACTTCTGTTAATTCAAGGTTTAATTGAACATTTGTTAAAAAATAAGTTGTATCAGTTTTGCCCTTTTATTGAAGTAAAACTGTGAGGATGTGTCGCGTGTGACTGTTCATCTGTGGAGCTTGGCTTCTCTAAATACCTGTGGGCCGAATTCAGTCACAGCAGCACTTTGTCTGTGGGGGACTGGTGGCCTAATGGTTAGGGCCTTACGCTTGCGTCCTGGAGGTCCGGAGTTCTAGCCCCACTCCCACAGACTGTCACTTTGTGTACCTGCTCCACGGGCACTGCACAATGGCAGGCCACTTCTCCCCAATGCGATGGGTTAAATGCAGAGAGTTTATTTCATTGCTTTGTACTTGTGATAGTGTAATAAAAATCACGTTGAATTCTATTTTGTAATCCAATGTATCTGGGCCCAATAAGACAAATCATGTCATAAAGATTCAACTCGATTAAATTCAGTTTATTTACCGTAAATTCTCTAATATTGGCCTGTATTCCAATAGCGGCCGGGTCTCTAATAATGGCCGGTCTCGCTGTCAGAGGAGGTAAATAATGGCCGGTCTCTAATACAGGCCGGGGCTATAAACGTTTTTTCTGGGCATACCTCAACATTATACTTGTGGTAGTAACATACAAGTACCACAGCCCTGCGCAGCTGAACGACAAGCCCTGCTGCTGCCCGTCTGCGCGAGGAAGAGAACAGACACGCAGCAGAACAGGAGGAGGAGCGCGAGTGATGAAGAGATTAAAGGGAGAGATGAAGAGGAGGAGGAAACTGAGGAGGAGAATTAAACAGAATTGGAGGATTTTTATTTTTATTTTTTTTTACTTCAAACCAAGCGAGACATGGTAACTGTACTTTTTCAATAAATGAACCTAGTGTTTTATAGGTTCAAATAGACACAAAATCTCATTTTTATTCATTCCACTGGTAGTCTGTGTTGCTCAAATAGCAATAGAGGCCTGTCTCTAATACTGGCCTCCTTCCAATAAAGGCCTGGACCGCGATGCACTTGAGTGAAATAAAGGCCCGGGCCTATATTAGAGAATTTACGGTATATAGCACCAATTCACAACACATGACATATCAAGGAACTTTACAGTTCACCAGATCATACAGTCAAATTGATTCAAAGTTTTCTATCTAAGGAAAACCAGTTGATTGCATCGACTCATTGACTCGAAAGGCAAACCCCCTACACTAAGCATGCTTTTAGTGACAGTGGAGAGGAAAAACTCCCTTTTAACAGGAAGAAACCTCCAGCAGAACCAGGCTCAGTGTGAGCGGCCATCTGCTGAGGCTGACTGGGGTTCAAGGAGACAGAAGCAGAGATACAAACGGCAACTGTAAAAGGCGGCCCCATCCAGGAAACACACAGCCAGGCAGACGAGCTCTGAGCCAGCTCCCATGGTTGACCTTATGGTCTTCAAAATGCTTAAAAGGAGGAAACCTTCTGCTGAATTAAGTGTAATGGCTTTATGGGCTTCTTATGTTCATCTGGCAATGGAGAGAAGTGCAGTGCAAATGTTAATTACGGCAAGAATTTAGGCCAGAAATGTATGGACTAATTAAAGTCTAAAAATAATGCAAAATAAAATGCATCTTGTGGTAACAAGAGTCACAAAACTGAACCGGACTGCTCCAGACACAACAGAATCGCGCTCAACTGGTATTAGTTCATCAGTAGGGCTCGGCGCAGTTCACTTCTGGACAAAGCCCTGATTGTCTGTAAGCCCTGATTAGACTATTGCTAGTGGTATCCATTTCCCAAAAGCCGACTCTGTCAAGTAAATTCACCAAAGGCTGCTTTCTTCGCCTGACTCTCCGCAAACAACGAAATATCACAATTATTACCAAACTTCCTGAATGTTACAGGCACCGCCAATGTGATTTGCTTGATTATCTCAAGAAGGCAGTAGTACCATAAATCGTCTCTAGGAGGCGAGGAACCGTGCTAGCATGATGTGTAAACAGTCGTAAGGAACCAAGCTTGGCATCGTTAACTGGTCCAAGCTCAATTGAACTGATCCAAAACAATTTCTTTTTGTTTTACACTTGTGTTAACAAAATGACAAATAAAATCTGTCTAAGTCTAAGTATTGCTGCCATATGGCCCACTACCACACCAATAGCATGGCCAACCGTAACACTTTTAATTCCGTTCAGTTCAGTTCAATTCAATTCAATTTACTTAACAGACTGATGATGATGAAAATTTAGTTACTAATTCAAAAGCAGACTAAAAGAAGCGTTTAAGAAAAAACCCCCCACATATCCTTTGTTTTTTGGTGAATCCAGGCTAAAAATGCTGGGCTACACAACCAAAAACATGGAGGATATTGTTCATCCTGCAAGATCCTTTCATGTCTCCAGTGATCCGGGTTCAGATACTTATCTGAAAAATCTGATTACTTGCTTTTATTCAAATATTGTAATATTAGTTGAACATAAAAAGTCATTAAATATTTATTTCTCTTTACCTGCTGAATCCATGCATCCTTTACACTTTTCGGATGCTCAGCACTCCCTTAGAATGTTTAAATTCATATTTTATGAACTACAAATAGGCCTGCCCAGCTGTATAGCTCTGCCACATGAACTCATTGTAAAGACAACACCAGGCAGTGTAAGCAAAAGGCCCTTTAATCCTTTATAAGCCTCTTTGTGGGTTTATATCCACTCCTCTGTGGTGGCATTGTGCATTACTTGAGCATGAAAGCTCTAAGAAGGCCAAATGTGTTTTATGCTTTGAAGACGCATTCAAACAGCTTTTGTAGCTTTTAAACCAACTGCTGAGGGAATTCTACAAACAAATGTACCTCGTAATAACACCTTTTTAGCTAAATATTCGCAATGATACCAGTGGGCCATTAAGTGATTTGGAAATTAATTAAAGAAAAAAGAAAGGAATACTAAAAGAAAATATAGTTCTTCAGTGTCAAAGTAAGACGTGCGTGAAAACATGCGGTGCACTGTAAGGTGTTGATCTGCATTTAATTGGAACATGAGCATCTAACAGGGGTGATGGTGTGTATTATGAGGCTGAGACCTCCTGCTGTTTTGCAATATTAAATCACTTTACCTCCTGCTGCTAAATGTCAGACTCATTATTTCTGCTCTGTGGGAGTTCTGCGTTCAACATCAGATTTCATCATCCCCTGTCTGTCTTCATCAGACAAACACAGCAGCTTCTCTGAAGAAGAAGATGGCTCAGGTAACTCCTGTACCATAGGCTCAGAGATCTACCTGGATGTCAGCTACCTTCATTACCTCTATGACGCCCGGCTCAGCATCAGCAGCTGCATGAAGGCCTGCCAGGTGTGGTCGGCACCGTATGATGGGGAGAACCCTCCTCCGGAGAAATACCAGCCGGGCGTACTGGAGGAGCCGGCGCCAGACAGTCGCCAAACCCAGACGGCCTTCAAGAGAGTCCCACAGCTGCTGGGGTCACGTCCTCGCCCAAGTCAGCCGCCGAGTAAAGAACCACCCTCTATTGCCCAGCTCGAGCTGGAATGGGATGACACCTTTGATGCGTGTCCAGTTCAGGCTGGCGAAGTTCCTGTGGAACCGAAACCTCCTCAGCTGCCTTCTTCTGAGGCACCAAAACACATCCAGGAGATGAGAAGGTCTGCCATCATGCTGGTTAAAGGCTCCTACATCGAGGAAAATGACTTCCAGGATGATGTCCTGGTGTACGATCTGATTGCAAAGAAAGACGCCTCAGCGATGGAGCAGACATCAGCCAGACCCCGCGGCTCATCATCAGCTGAGGCTCAGCCAGACTCCACTGAGGTCCCACTGAAAAACGGGCTCAGTCTAACACTTCCCACCTCTGTGATGGCAGATAACGGAAATAACAGCCTAAAGGCAAAGGTCAAAGGTCAGACAGACTGTAACGGCAATGTCCAAAACACGACCAGCACTAGTGATGATCTTTTATCTCAGTATGAGGAGCTGGTCCGTACTCTGGTCAGCCAAACAGCTGGAAAACAGGCAAAAACTGATGGAGAGGTGAGAAAGTCTGTCTCTATAGCAGTGGAAGAAGAAGAGGAGGAGGAAGAGATGGACTTCACTTCCTTTACAGCTGAAACTCCTGATTCAGAGAAACTAGCGTCTCCATTTGGGTCCATTCAGAGGTCCCGTAGTGGGAGCTCTAAAGGAAGCTACACTTTGCCTTTTACAGGTGAGTTCAGGTGAATCTGGTCCCTGCAGCACCAAAAATCAAACATGATAGCAATGAATCTTCATCCTGCAGGTCCATTTATCAGCGTGCTGCTGTCTCGCCTGGAGAATATGCTCACCAACACGCTTCATGTCAACCTGCTGCTGACAGGGATCCTGGCTCAGCTGGCCGCTTACCCTCAGCCACTCCTCCGCTCCTTCCTCCTCAACACCAATCTGGTTTTTCAGCCGACTGTTCGATCGCTTTACCAGGTGAACCAAACGTATTTCAGATAAAAAAAAAACATAACAGATAATACCCGTTTTTACCACATTTCCAAAGAGTTAAAACGCTGCAGATAGGAATTTAATGATACTTTCTTTAAAATAATTGTCCCCAGGTTCTCGCTATTGTAAAGAATCAGATAGAAGAGGCGGCTGCCTGCAGGAAGGACTTCCCTGAGCTTATTACTGTGGCACAACACTGGCTGCTGGCCAGAGAGGCCTCGTTCATCACAGCAGGTAAAAACACGCCTCAGTCTGAACCACCTTTCTTTTATTAAGGGTTGGCAGCACAGGTTAAAGATATCGTTATGTAAATTTTATTTCTATATCTTGACGTTTTAAAAAAACAAAACAAAAATGAACATATCTTGTCCAATATGGCCAACCAAACTTAAAAAAAATATTCAAATTTCTTTGCACTTCTAATTTTTTCAGTAATTAATCAATATTTTCCTGCATTTCTCCATCTTTAGTAAAATAATAGTGCTATAGCCTCATCTTTAACCTATCTGACTGCAAAAACAAATTCCCCCAATAGGGATGATCAAGTTTATCTTATCTCCATGTTGATAGTTGCCAGTTGTTATTTATATTAACATGCTACAGTGGGCACTGGTTGGAAATGGACGGTTTCCTGCGTGATTCCTGTGTGATTCCCACGTGAATCACGTTGTATTTCCTGAGGCCAGTTTTTTTATTTCAAAAAGAACTGCAATGTACCCGGACAACCACCAGGTGGCGCTTGGGACCTCTGCCGTGCTGAGGGTGACGTTTGTGGGCCTGCAGTCAACTGAAAAGCAGGTTTATTGGGGATCTTGGTGTGATACTGGGCTATTTTATTTTGTTTTTGATTAAAATAAAGTTAATGAATTAATTTAACATAAGATTATGCAGTCAAGTGACTGCATAATCTTATTTTATGAAAATGGTTGCGTAGTTATAGATACACCTCCGATCTTATCTGAGAACTGTTATTTCTATTTATCTGCATCGCTATTATTTAATGAAAAATTAAATTAATTAAGTTGGAGCCGGGGATACGGACTGTAGCGCAACCAGAGAAAGGCGACAGAGACAGTGCTGCGGCTGGTGATGTTGAAATTAAAATCATATCCAAAGTTGATTCCTCATTAAGATAAGCCAAAGTTATTCAAAAGGGTATGTAAGAAAATATATTTTCTTTAGTTTTGTAAAATATAAGTGCCGTTGAAAGCTTTGTTTTTGTGTGTTACTTTCTTGCCGTGCAATACGTGACACCCCTCCCAGTCTGGTCAAGTAGCAGACTGGGAGGGCTGTCACGTGTTGCCAACTTATAGCGCAGTGGTTAAGCTGAGTGGTCTGTAGACTAACAGCTTGTGGGTTCAATCCCAACTGTGGCCGAGTTGCCTTAAATGTTTTATTTTTTATTTTTTATAAAGTAATGAAAGTTAGAATGTAACCAGGTTTTCTATTTTTGAAACAACAATTGGAGTTATTCGTTGGACATTCACGCATGAGCCTGTATAAAAAGAGGAGCTGAGCAGCAGAGCGATGTGTCTGTCTTGCTGTCAGCTCCCAGATCAGCTTCTCTGATTGATGCGGCGCTTCCAGCAGCTAAACTTCAATTTTTCCATCTCGAGCAGCAGCAGCGCGCGTCAAATGCTTAAAATGCGCTGCGGGACCTTTTGCTGCGCCTACTGTACGTATATGCGCATCAACCATTGACTTTGCATGTAAACTCGCTGCTTCTGCATCAACAGCGATGTTGATGAGTGGAAAAACCCCCCACCTGGTCTCCTTACCAAAGGGAGCACCGCACATTTCAAGGGATAAAAAGACGTTTATGTGCGCTTATAGTCGTGAAAATACGGTAAATTCTAACACTATCCATTCACAAAAATATAAAACCTACGGGAATGCCGGAGCCCCGGGCTGCAGCCCCGGTAAGCCCCTGCTAAAATCCGCCCCAGACCTGGATATACGGTATAGATATTGCTTATATATTGCCACAGTGTTTAGATATTTTTATAATTCTATTTACCCTTATATGTGTCATCTTGCACGATTGTACCATAAAAAAAATCCCTAGTTTGTGAACTCCTTCTCTGACAATGTCAATAAACCTGATTCTGTTCCTGAAAAAACTGCTGTGAAACATTTTGTTTCTATAATTTCTATTTCTATATTTCAGATTAGATTTTAAAACAACACAAAGTGGGAAAAGAGCATGAGAGAAAATGTGTTTATTGTGATGAATACTGAACAGGTTTACATTGAGAGTCGTTGGGATGATTTGCGTGTTGTACGGAGAAATTCGTTGATCTTATCAATGCAGTCCTTCAAGTCACTCTTCCCCATATCAGGAAACTTTCGCTGCAGTGTTGAAACCACAAAGTTGAGCTGTGAGGGGGAGGGGGTCTCTGTAAATGGTGGTGGTTGAATTGTATTGTCAGAGAACAAGAGAGTAAGTTGTCTGCAAAGTACCGCGTCAACTCTGAATAACCTGCTAAAGCCATTTGTCGTTATTTTTTGCATTGATTAGGCGGGGGTCCTGAGGGGTAGGGGGTCTCACAAACATAAGTTGTTCATGAATGCAGGCAGACCATATTTCTGGTTTTCGTCAAGATAAAAAAAAAAAAAAAAAACGGATTTCATTATTTGGGTTGGCAAGGGAAGATGTTTGGCCTGTATAACCCACACATCAGTCGGACAATAACATGACCAGTCCACTTAGAGTATGTCCGCAGCAGATAACCACAAAAAAAAACACCAAGATCCCCAATAAACCTGCTTTTCAGTTGACTGCAGGCCCACAAACGTACAGACACGGTGTCTACTGCAAGTCTCTGACTAAAGGAGCTGGTCAGCTCCTCTTTTTATACAGGCTCATGCGTGAATGTCCAACGAATAACTCCAATTGTTGTTTCAAAAATAGAAAACCTGGTTTCATTACTTTACATTCTAACTTGCATTACTTTATAAAAAAGCGATAATAATAATAAAATAAAAAAAAAAAACATTTAAGACAACTTGGCCACAGCTGGGATTGAACCCACAGTCTATTGAACCACAGACCACTCAGCTTAACCTCTGCGCTATAAACTCGCAACACGTGACACCCTTCCAGTTTGCTACTCGACCTATGTAATTCTGACTCATGGGACGCCGAAATGGAGTCAGACTGCCACCTAGTGGCTATAGTAGTCACATGTTTTTCACACAATACGTGAAACACGCGGAGCGTGAGTGAAGTGTCCATTTCCAACCAGCGCCCACTGTAACTCTTCAGGCAGTGGATCAGCCGAACGGTTTCCTCTTTTACCACCTCTGCTTAGACTGAGCTGGCTTAAAGTCATTTTCACTTCACATCTGTTTGCAAGTACCTGGTTCGATCCCCACAGCCTGCACTCTGGGTCCCTGAGCAAGACACTTAACCTCACACTGCTCTCCGAGCTCAGTGTGTGGAAACCCACTGCTCCCCAATGGATGCGTTAAATGCCGAGAGTTTATTTCTCCATTGTGAGATCAATAAAGTTCTATAAAAAAAGATAGAACTGTTTATAGACTGAAGCTTATGTGGACAATAGAATGCAGTCAAAAAGCTCTATTTACCTCCCAAATTAAAATTCATTTAAAAATCTGATTAGGATTTAAACATAAAGTTTAATAATTAGATTAAATATTTGAGCCAAATAAAAGGTACAGCAGCGATTCAAAGTGATGAACCGCACACAGTTGGTTTTTTCAGAGGTCTGAATAAACTCTGATTTTTTTAGCCTCCTCTTTCAGGCCCTCAAGCTTTTTAATCCAATGTTTGAACCGGATCTTCTGTGGTTTCAAAGCATCAGAGCTTAATAAGTATAAAGACAAACCCTCAGAATCTTTGTAGAAAGACAATAGATGGGAATTGCAAAGTGCTTGTTTTATTCTTTTTGTTTGCAACTTTTGCTTTTTTTTTTTTTTTTTTTTTTTTTTAGGGTGTCTGTGTTTTTTATTTTAATTTATTTAAAAAATGTAGTAAACAAAATGATCCTCCTTGAAACTTCAACCTGTTTGTGTTTTCGCTCTCTCAGATAAAAGCAGCAGCGGTCCCTCCAACCAACAGGAAGGAGGAAGGATCTTGAAGAACTCCCCTCCACCAAAGCCTAAAGCCATCTCTCTGGATCAGATGGAGGTCTTTGCTACGGTTCTCTTCTCAGAGTTCCTTAAAGAACTTGCTGCCATCGCACAGGAGCACTCCGTCCTGTCTTACATTCCTATGGAAGAATAGAAAACCTCTGGGATGAGTTCAGGAGGAATATTGGGTACTTTTTTCAGGTACTAATTAATGAACTGAAGGGTTTTCCCTTTTTATTTGAAAGAATTAAAAAATATTTATTTTTTTCTAACTAAAGAATCAACTTTGCTTGGTTGAACCTCATCACCTTGCCTTTGCAAAGCGTTTGTCAGACAAAATAGAGATCCAACCTTGGAGCAGATTTTCTTCATAGAGACATGCTGCAGCTCCTCTCACCAAAGACTTTTTATTTTTCTTTTCTTTACCCACAAACAATCAGTTGCTCTTTCCTAACCCATATGAATATCTTCTATAAGCAGCTCCAGTGATGCAGTGCTGCTCCGTGATTTCTATAAAAACACTCAGGTAGCCTTTCAGAAGTTGCCTTCAAGCATCAGGATAACATTGAATGTCGGTTTTTCATTATGTTTTCTTATGACTGGCAGCAATACTGAAAGCCTAAAACAAACACGTCCAAGCTGACATTTTCAATCACAACTGTTACACACTTTAGTCACTACTGCCTTTAAATTGCAAAGTGTGATTACAGAAAGCCTTTGTGTCTTTGCCAGAGGCAGTTCAGGAGTCTTTTAGCAACATCTCCTGTTGTTTGTTTAAACAAGTAGATTGTCTAACTTTTTATGGGCTCTGCTTCTTTCTATTGTCTCCACCATCATTGTTGGCACCTCTCATAAAGAAATGTAAAAAAAAAAAAAAAAGGAAATAAATGCATTTTAACTGAAAAAAAACTAACATTTCACCCTTTTAATTTGATTTTTTTTCAATTAGTAGAGAGAACAAATCCCATGGCATTCTTACTGATTTAAATTGTAAGTTGATCCGCTTTAGTTAATACTAGAACTAGCAATCCATGACCTCATGGTCTCCCTGTGGTTTCGTCTATTTGACTCAGATGCCCATTTGGTCTGGCTTCTCTTAAAAAAATACTTGAAATAAGAAAACATACAATTCTTTGTCCATTCCTCACCATCCGCTAAAAAATGTTGCACTACATGCGCTGTGCCTCATAAATTTACTATGAGTGGTCAATTTACTATTAGTTGAATTATTTGAAAACAGGATGAACTCCCTGGCCATGTTAGCCTCTGTAAGCATTCAACATGCTGAGGTGAGGGAACTTTCCTCAGTGCAGACGGATCTTGTGCATAGCGTGGCTCAGATTAATCATTGCACATTTTCAGTCAGATTCCAAATGAGTCTTTAGGAGCCCAGCAGATTTACAGAAGATGTACATTTTAGAGCATCAGATACGTAGAAAGGCTATGTTGGACTGTTAGAACTAGACCTCAAACTCAACGCTATTTCTGACATTTTGAATTGAAAAAGCTTCCTGGATCGGAAGCGTAACATCTTCAGACTTGGAAACAAAGTCCATTGGATTGTTTTTTTTTTTTTTTTTTTTGTGATTTAGGACTTTTTTTTTTTTTTTACACATCTTTACAAGGGGGTCCAATAATAGTTGCCTTATCTCATATACAATGTATATGTGTACAGAATGGATAAACCAGGTTAATCACCGCTGGATGTAAAGCACCTTTAACCTTAAGGAATGTTTGATGATGTATAAATCCTTAGGAAAATATTCCAGGAGAAAGAACACTATGCAAATCAAATTTTGGGGGAACTGTTAATTCTTGTTTCATTGTAATGTAGGGTAGGGGTATTTAAACTATTTGTTGTCTTTGTTATAGTAGTTTTTTTTTTTTTTTTGCCATTACTTTTTTTCCACTGTCTTGTGAAAAAGGGGGATAAGAAGCTGATAAAAGATTCACTTTATGGAGGGTTGTTGTTCAAGTCTGTTCAGTGTAATTTTATTCCACATTATTGATAGAATAAATAAAAGTACTTTTTAAATCTGGCTTGTTGCCCTTTTTTTTTTTTGACAAATACTTTGTTAAATCCAAGACAAACGTTTGGAAGTAGCTCTGAGTTTCATTTCACTGTGACTTTTGGTCACAAAAATAGTAAAAGTTTTCTAGATTTACTTGATTTACTGACTTTAGTTTAACTCACTTTTTATGTTCTTTGATTTCCACCAGCTATATAATAACATAGGGCAGAAACAATCGGATTAATCCATTATTGAAATAATTGTCAACTAATTTAGTAATCGATTAATCATTAAGTGGAGTATAAAGACTATAAAATATATCTTTAGCTGACAGAGCAACCCACTTAGAGCAGTAATTATATCAATTGTAAAAACATATATAAATCATTTGAATTTCAGATAAAAAAGCTTTTTAGTCTGTCTATATGCTCTATCCAGAACTACTGAAGTGGAAAAGTTTGAGTTTCACCTGGTTTAATTTTGTTAAAAGTCTACTTGAAGGAACCTTAGGCTATCCAATTATTAACTTATTAATTGAAAAAAATAATCGACAGATTAATTGATTTGTAAAATAATGATTAATTGCAGCCCTATGACAAAATAACTAGACTAATGCTAAGTATTATTAAAAGAAAAAGCCTTACTTTTTGTGTTGAGATTTGCAAGAACTAGCAGCTCAGTGCAGCAGTGGGTAGCATCGCGGCCTTGCAGTAAGAAGGATCTGGGTTCAATTCCCGGCCTGGGGTCTTTCTGCGTGGAGTTTGCATGGGTTCTCTCCGGGTACTCCGGCTTCCTCCCACGGTCCTTAAACATGACCGTTAGGTTAATTGGCTGCTCTAAATTCTCCTTAGGTGTGAATGGTTGTTTGTCCTGTTAGTCTCTGTGTTTCCCTGTGATGGACTGGCGACCTGTTCAGGGATTACCCCGCCTCTCGTCCGTAGACAGCTGGAGATAGGCACTAAATGACTGTGTGTATACTGTGGCATGCTGCTGTTAAAACCAGAGAACCTTTCTCTAAACAAAGAAAAGGATAAAAAAGGATGATGCTGAAGCACCCAAAGTTTATAGTAAACGTGTATCCTGATAAGTATATGTGTAGTTATTCCAGCAATCTTAATGGAATAAAGATTAATAATCTTTAGAAAAATCTGAATGGATTTTTTTAGTTCTGTAATTGAGTGTACATCCAGTTTTTTAGAAATATTTTCTTTCAGTAGACTTTAATATGAGTGAATCCTTCTGTCTGATTTTAGATTTCACCAGGCTGCTTAAAGCTGCTGATCTTTGAGATAGAATAGTAACAATTCTGTTTAAATGCAATGTTAAATGCAAACATGTGCACTCATAACTGGTTTCACATCCTACCTCATTTCGTTTTCTTTAATGAAAAGAAACTTTTCTTGATCAACAGATTTTGTTTTTTTGGACCCCTACAAATGTTATAAGCATTAATGTTTTCATTATTTTTCAGTACCTCAAAAAAATCTATTTCACAACAATAACGCTCAGTGTTCATACTATGTCTGACATTCATAGATGTGCTCATTGAGGTCTGGACCTTCAGATCAATGTGATACCATTATTTATTCCTTTATTTCCTTCTGCTGTAACAATCATACATAGTAGTTCAATCGCATCTACTAAGTTTAGATTTCTTCTAATATTCTGCATAAATGATTCCCATCCAGTCATCCAGTGGTAAAGCCTAGATGGCCATAAGTATCCCCTGCAGCCCTTTTAAATCAGCCATCTTTCTTTTGCCTTTGTCTGTCCTGTTGTGAATGTCAACAGTAAACATGTCTGCTGAGGCGTGTAGTCTGAAATTTGACTTTTAGCCCTTTAACTATTTATGCTACTGCTGTATAGTTTGACCTTGCAGTGAATCTGCCGGGATGTCCACTCACAGTGAGACTGGCAGCGTAGTTAAATGTTTTCTACTTGTGTATTAACCTTTTCACCCACAGGATGGTTTCCATGTAGTTTTTAAAGTGGCCCCATAATCCTTCCCAGACTAATGTGGAGAAACAGCTGCTTTTTCAAATGTATTTATTTAAAGGTCTTTGCCAGTACCTCTCCTTACTGGCATTTTGTTGACTCACATCTATGTGCAGACCAGCTTACAAACACACAACCTAAATATGTAATATATTATTTATCCTTTAGGTGGAGAGTGTTCTCTTTTTTTAACCTATACTTCTTGTTTTTTTTGTCTTTTTTGGGGTTTTTAATAAAGATTCTGGAATCCGTAGATTTAATACTCATATTTAAATAATTTTATGTTGGAGAAAAACACCTGTAATATCTTCTGATATATGAATAATTCACATATAAAGTATCTTTCACCTCAGTTTTTTTTTCTGTTTGCTTTATTTATGTTACAGTTAAATGTGTAACCTAATTTAACCACCAGTATGAGAAAAAGGGTAAATGCCGTCTAATCCTTACAAGTAATTGTACCTCTCTTGCAACCAAGTGCTCATAGTAAGTGGGGATGAGTGTGCTCTCCCTCAGAGGGAACCTGGCTCCACTTTCTTGAATAGTTTTGATTCATCAACATTCAATGGTTTCTGAGCATAAAATGCGGTTTGAAGGTCAAACCAATTCTTTCTCAGTCGCGATCATATCTGGACTCTTAACTAGGTCGCTCCAAAAAGGTGTTTATGACTCTTTCAAAGACAGTTTTACAGATGTGATTTGGATGATTGCTCTTTTTAAGCTCAAAGTCACAAACTTAAGGTCTTACATAGTCTTTAAAGAGTTTCAGGTATAAAGCAGAATTCATTGTTGGAAAATGCCTTCTGGGTCCTGAAGCAGCCAATCGATCCCAGACCATCATCCTACCACATTTATCTTTGTCTGTTGGTGATGTGCTCTTTTATTAAATGCTTTTTGTACAGGATGTCACAAACTACATTTCTCTAAACTGTGCAAAGATGATTTTGCCAATAAACTAAGGATCTTACTTTGTTTTTTTTAGTGTGGGACAGGTCTGTATGTTTTGGGTCAGGAGTGGTTTGTATCCTTTAACTCTCCCATGGAGGCCATTTTTACTCAGCTCCTCTCTAATGACTCAGTCTGAGGGAGAGAAACCTGCAGGGCTGTAGATGTTCTGAATATCTTGATGACTTCTTTTGCAGGTTATTTAGCAGGTTGGTCATCCGGGCCATCACTGTTCCATGTGTTTCACAGTTTTAGATTATGGTTCTCACTCTGGTTTTTAGTACAGAAATAACTTTATAAACCTTTTCTGGTGGATTTCAGTGACTGCTTCTCATTTCAGCTCAAGATTCAATACACTGGGGCATGTTGTGTTGCTTTTAGCCTATCTCATGTTGTCAGACAGGTTCTATTAAAGTGACCCAATTCAATTGGTTAGACATGAGAGTGGCTACAGAGTAGGGGACTTTTTTATGTAGAGAGGTTGGCTAGAATGTAAATTTTTGGCTAAATAAAATGTTATATTCCTATTTGCTTTTCTTTGGGTTACCTCCATTTTGTTGTATTAAGTAAAAAATAAAAATGTTGAAGAAAAGCAAAATCTGTTTAGGGGGAATACTTCATTACAGCACTGTTACATCAATATCTAATTGAACACAAGATCCAGTTGACCAAGGAACATTCTCGGATATCTGCAGTCTCAGCTAAGGTAATACATCACATCATTTTATTATTCTGATTTGTGGAAAGGATGAGCAGTGCTAAAATATCTGCCATCACTCACTGCTGAACTATAACTTTTAATAAATAAAAATTCAGTAAAAGGTGTGGAGCTAAAAATTAAACCTTGACAGCTTCATGTCAAAGGAAATGCATGTATATAGAAAAAATCTAACATGCTTCAACCACAGGGGGGCGTTCTTTGATCAGTCTACTGCAACCGGCCTCTGCCTTCTCAGCAGTTTTAACTTCATCCTTGTTAATCTCCAAGGACTTTCAGTTGATAACTCATTAGTTCATATATTTTTGACAGAAACTATTGTCTCTCTTAGTGGGAACAATAAATAATGTTCGATTCAAATACACTTTTTAAAGCAAAATGACAGTGTAATAATAATAACCTTTATTGGCTTAATATAGATCATATTTGTTATAACAATGATTCTTGATGACACTTAAATATATACAAAGCAGCCACTCCAGGACATGAGTTTCATCAAACTGCAAACATCTGGCTGTGATTATGTGTAAGCAGACACACAGCATCTGTTTCGCTCCGAATAAGCGATGATGGTGTCACGATGTCTTCTCTTCTAGGATCTCCCTCACCAAAACCGGATCAGCTCTCCCTTTGGTCTCTTTCTGAACCAGACCCATCAGCTTATTCAAAACCTTCTTATTTCCACTCCTGATGGCACAAACCTGAAAACAAAAAAAGAAAAAACTCTAGTATCGGGCGCATGTCAGAAAATTATATTAGTAAGGAGTCCATTAAGGAAGCTATTAATTTTCCTTTTAATTTCCATTGGCAGAATGTGTCTTAAAGGGAGTTTAAATAATGGCTGGTTTCTGCTGCCAAAGAAGTTGTCAGAATTTGGTGCCAACAACATGAAAGCTTTGATCCCCCTGTTTTACATCCATAGTTGATACTGGTAGTTGTCTAATGGCAGGTTTTTTGGCGGCATGCATGAGGCCCATTAGGAATAATTGAGCATTGGTCAACAGCACAGCCTACCTAAGGTTGTTGCTACCCATCTCCACCTCTAGATGATCACATATTTTAATAGTTCCTACCAACAAGATGATGCTCCATGCCAGAAAGCTCAGATCATCTACTGCTGGCTGTATGAACATGAGGATGAGCACCATACTCCACAGCCTGCACAGTTGCCACATTTTGACCATATACAGACCTTTTAGATGGGAATGGAACAAGATTTTCTCTTAAACAGATGTTCAGCTGACAATAATGGAGGCCTGCTGCAAAGTCACAGTAAAGGTGACTTTCCACTGCTGCTTGTTGCTCCTGCAGGACTTAATGCGACCTACTGGGTTCCTTAGATAGAGAACTACCCAACCAATCTGTGTGCATGATGTGATTGAACCGACTCTGCAGAAATGCCTTGAGATGACTTGTGTTGCGAATTACTGTCATTTCAATGTGAACCAAACCCTCAGAGCAACCTTCAGTCGGACATGTGCTCCAGACTTGGCCAGGGCTCTTTTTGCATGAATAGCTGCATGGATACAGGCTGACCTATCAGTGCTTCTGCTGAGGTTAAGGCTGTAAGGTATTAGAACATTTAGCAATGGGATTAATTCTAGGATTCATTGCAATGACTATATAAGTGGAGCTTAAGTCTTATTTTCTTCTTTTCTCGCCTTTTCATCAGTGCTTCACACCCTCTCTGACCTTTAGTCAGGGCAATGTCAGTATATCCAGTGTGAGCAGCTGCTTCCTTGGGACTCTGTCCAACTGGCTAAATCATACATTAGTATGAACAATAAAAGTTCATGAGACTTAGAATATATCATCCAGCAATAACTGCACTCCAAACTGTTATTATTGAAAAAAAACTCATATTGTGATGACTACATAGCCACAGTGTATTATGCTCATATGGCTGCTCTGACTCTGAAGCAGATCACACACAGTGGAACGATGTCAGATGATAACATGGCCCCTCTAATCATCACCAACTGTGGAAACGTTACAGTGGGCCTCAGGGAAGTTGGATTCTGTCCTTCAGCGTTCCTACAGTGTTATGGAAGCCTGTAGCCTATAATCAGGTGGCCTCTGGGTCCTATGTACTATTGCAATCTTCTGTCGAAGTGAATTTGTTTTTGTTTTGATTAACTGTGAGGAATAATCATCAAATTACAAGTATGAAATGCTTTCAAAATACCCCACATTTCTTTTTAATATAAATTAGTTAACTTTTTGATTGCATTTCAATGAATTGAGATCCCCCTGTAAATGTAACCCCAGACATTCAATGAAGCCCATACCTCCTCTGGATGCGAGTCTACAACCTTCTGGCAGATTCTGTGGAGCTCAGCGGCGTCGCTAACTAGCCCTAAGTCCTGCTCACGGATGATCTGTGCGGCCGTCCTTCCCGGTGACCTCCACATCTCCTGAAACACCTGCGGGCACAGAGACAGCAGCAGGTGAGAAAGAGAGAACACAGAGCTGGGCTAATAACTGCAGGGTCTGTGCAGCACACTGACCTGCTTTGAAACAGAAGAGGAGATGTGTCCTGCTTCCTGCAGCTCCAACAGCTCAGCCAAGGCAGCGGGAACGACTGGGCTGGAATCAAATTAAGGCCTAATTAAATTAAATTTTAATAGCTGGAGGTGTATTAGTGATATAAATAATAAGGTAGATGGAGAGAGACAAATTGGGATCGCTGGACCGAAGGGACGAGAAAAAGGAGGAAAAGAACTACTCTGAATTTCTTACACCTGCTTTATTTTTTGCATCCGCTTAGATCTAAAAAAGAAAATTCTCTCACTAAATCAGAGCTGTTTATCTCCCAGAATACAATTACATGAATCATAGGAGTTATCTACAAACCTCAGATGGGGCCGGAAGAGGAAGTTCATTTACATCTCCAGAAGAATTATAATTTATTATACCAACATAGATGAGGTTATCAGAATCCTTCTAGATTTTGTACTGGGTACCATACCATGCAGCTTTTATTTCGCTTATTTATCCTAGGGTCCTAAAACAAAGACCCAACAGTTGTTCCTCTGACTCGGTTTTCTGCACAAACATTATGTGCATATAATGGATGGATGGATGGATGGATGGATGAAAGGAAGGAAGGAAGGAAGGAAGGAAGGAAGGAAGGAAGGAAGGAAGGAAGGAAGGAAGGAAGGAAGGAAGGAAGGAAGGAAAAGAATGTACTAAGTAAATACTGAAGAAAGAGGCAAGAAGGAAAGACAAAGACAGATTTTTTAAAATTAAGGAGAAAAATGTCCTGAAATAAAGACTATTTTCCATTTGTATTCTAAGCTCTCTCCAACTGTGAAATCTTTAGGTTCCACAATCAATGTGATCTTCAGCTAATCTCAGTCTGACTCAGCCGTTTCATTTTTCATTCCAGCTGCAAAAATGATTAAACTCCCATCTTTGGATAATTTAAAGGGAAAGTGATGTGTCATAATCGTCCAGTATTCAGAACCCCGGCATGCTTTGAACAGAAACAGTGAGAAGTGGTGGTTTAATTTCATACAGCCAGCGGCAACAAAGGCTTCCTGTCCGAGATTTTGGAGGCTTAATTATGAGACCATGAAACCATGGCAACTATTTCACGCCTAAACAAACAACAAAGGCTGTTAATTTTAAGCTTAAGTGCAACATGTGTAAAATTCAGCCTGTTCCAGCCGGGAGCTCCTCTTCTGGAACATATCATCTCCCAGGTTTGGCTATAGAGGCTTTTTTCCGCATAAAGACTCAGTGACTTTCTCAGAGACAAGACAAATAATTAGTAAACACAAAATGATCCCATTTATGCATCTGAGAAAGGGGCAGAAAAGTAATTTGCTTCTGCTCTGTCACCTCCTTCACTTTCAATCATGGCATTTGACAAGTGAAAAGGACTAAAATGAGGTGTTAATATGAGCTACAGATCAGAAAGGAAACTGGTGGATTGGCTCTCGGTACAGAAGCAGTGGGTAATTAAAGAACAGAATGGGATGAAAAAAGGAAACGGTATGATCCTGGACATTTTGGACTCTCTTTCATGAATGGACTCCTGCTGTGACAGTTATCATCTGACTGCAGGTTCACTCAGCGCTGTTCGCTGCCAGGACACACTCCTCCATCCATGTTTATCTTTAATCTGTTTCAGCCCTTGATGTGAGCTTTAGGATCTGGCGACTGATCTGACGTTAGATCTGTTAAAGATCTGAGATCTGAGTAAGGCTCTGGGACTGTCTCTGTGTAGCTTCCGCAGAGGAGGACCGTATTTTTTGAAGTGAAATTTTGAACACATTACCAACACTGGTAACTGAAAGACCAATTAAAATCACTACTTTGACACAGTAAGATTCTAGTTTACATTTATTTACCTATAAACCCGGAGGGAACCTTTAAAGTTGATACATCGCAGCTTTAATACTAACTTGTTTCACTGTTAATATTAAGGATTTTATAGGCAGAAATGATCCTAAAGGTTTTCACAATTTAAATATTTTTAAATATTGTCACAATACAACTACAAATGTTAATTGATTTAATTTGCAGTAGACAAACACAAAGCTGTACACAACTGAAGTGGAAAGAAATGCATCCAGTATGTGAGACGTGTTTTCATTCACTAATCAGTACTACAGCTGTATCATTACCTTTATGTATCTAGAACCTAAGATTTTAATTAAAGTCTTATCTTACCAGGGCTTGCTTCTAAATGTTTTGCTGTGTCTTGGAAGTCAGTGATCAAGTTGTGTAAAGAGTCCCCCTACATTGCAGTTGGAGCTCCTTCAAAATCAGATGCCTGCTTTTCTAAATATGCTCCTACTTGTCTGGCCTACTTTTTTAATGTCTAGATCATGGATTGACCACTTCACTGGGAGTTGTTAAAATACGTATTTTTTTAACCTAATTCTGAATTACAGTTCTTCAGACCCTTGTCCTTTAACTGTCTGCAGTGCTCCTCTGTCTTTGTGAGGCTGTTTGTTCACTAAAATCTGGCTTCTTCAGATTTATACCTGCTTCTGGACATAACTGGAATGCAAATTTACAACACAGATTTAATTTGTAAAGAAGTACTGAAAACCTAACAGGCATTTATTTCCTCTTTACATTAATGAGAAACTTTTTTTATTGGTTTGTAATTCAAAACCCGCCGAATGAAGGTGAAATGGAAGGTGACAAACTGTGACACAGTTTAAGTACTTGGATTACTTTAGTAAGGAGCTCATTTGTGAGAAATATTCCATATTACGTCCCTCACAGCCAGTTCCTCTGGGTGTTTCTCACCTCTGGCTCACGCTCAGTTCTTGCTGCTTGAGGAGTCCTAATAACTCATTGGTCACCCAGCCAATCACCTTCCTGGGCTCCCTCTTGGTTGACTTCATCACCTCCTCAAAGTACTCCATCAACCCATCCTCATTCTGCAAAAAATATTCCAGTATTAAGCATGCAAATAATTAACTTACTATGTAATCAGTCCACTGAATATCAGCTAAGTTAACCCAGACTAAAGGATTTAATCCCATTAAATGGTTAGTTTTATTTCAGCCTCCCACACGCTCACCACCAGAGTGAAGCTGTGCTCTGGCAGGATGCCGTACAACTGAACCAGCCTGTCTCTTTTGATGCTGGGTAACTCTGGCAGCCCTTCCTTTATCGTCTGAACCACTACCGCCTGGCACGCGTCGATACCCGCAGGCAGCGATGCGTTATCCTCAAACACAATCAGGGGGGGCAGGTTGGGCTCTGGCATGAACCTGGAAGAAGTTGAGTGAAGGAGTGAGTGAGAGAAGCCTCTCAGAGTGTGAAAGATAAGCTCAGAGTGAAGGAGAAGGACTCGTCCTCGAATACAAATTTAGTTGTCATCATATTTTACATCATTTCCTCAATCATCTGGCTTGATCTAAATTATTCATGTATCAATAAATATTTCTGCTCCTGCTCCACTGACACATGAGGAGAATAAAAAGCTCACCTGTAGTCCTGAAGACCTTCTTTGTCTCTCATTGCAACAGTTTCCCTAAAACAACAAGAAACACATTATATTAATCAATCATTGGGGGGTGGGAGGTCAATCTAAGGCTCGGGGGCCATTTGAGGCCCTTGGAACTATTCTGTTCAGTTCTGTATACATAGTTGTATAATATTGCTGTCTACATATCCCAGGCATTGGTTTGTAAATTTACAAAACTAAAATCCTACTTTTGAGTCGGAAACCACCTCTTTGGCGCCCTCCTCAGGCTAAAAGGACATTTGATTTTTGCTATAGGCTTAGCTTGGTTTAAACTAAGTCAGCAGCACTACCGTGGTGAGCAATGGTTTCCTTAGGGACTGACCGCACATTAAATGATCTTGTTGCTGTCATGGTCTTGGTTCTGTTTTTCCTTACTTTGCTCCTTTTTTTCTAGATTTATTGGTTTAATTCCAGTTTTGTTGTAATTTCTAGATTTATATTAGTTCTCATGTTTTTCTCTTGTCCTCTGTTGCCCTCTTGTGTGTGTGTGTGTGTGTTCCTTTCCCCTTGGCTCCCTCGTTGTCTCCTCTAACACCTGCTCCTTGTCAGCTCGTTAACCCTGCCTTTGTCTCTGTCTGCTATATATGCTCTCCCTCTGCTCTCACTCTTTGTTGGTTCCTTGTCTTTGCTGTCCTCCCATGCTGTTGTCCACCTACCTCGTCTCTCCCTGGCTCCTTGTGTGTTGTTTCCCCAGATGTCTCCATAGTTCTGGTTTGCTTTTTTATTCTTCATGTTGGATTTTGGATTTTTGGATTCCTGCCTCTGTTACCTGTGTATATTTCATTAAAGTTGCAAGAAATCTCCTCAGCCTCTGCCTCTGCATTTGGGTCCTCCAAACCACAACTGAACCCTGACAGTTGCAATGAGAATTGAAAATCCTTCATTTTTCTCTCCATTTTAAAGATAAATGAAAAAGGTAAACATTGGATAAAACTAGTCGAGAATATCTGTCTGTCTTATTTTAAATTATTGTTTCAATAACTCGCAAAGCATAAAAGCTATAAAAAAAAAAAAAAAAAAATTTTGAAGAGAAAAAAATGCATCATAATTAGACATAAGACATTAATGGTTTGGAATTAATTTTGTGTCGACAGGTTAAGAGGTGGTTAATTTTTGTTTAATCAATTTTGTTTGGTTCAGAGATTTATTGATGGGCCCAACCAGAACCACTGTTGCTCCTCCGCAGCACCCCCTAACCCTATCTCTGTCACCAGAGAAGACTGCAGAGATAGACCCGATGGCTGCATTGTAAAACAATCATCCCTGGGATCGTTTTGCTTGCCAATTATTGTGTCTCTATGTGCCACTGTCAATCACAGTTGAGACCGTTCCAGGCTTCGACCCCCCCTACATGCTTCACAGTCCCCCTAGCACTTCTTCTTTAGATTATTTTCAAGTATTACATATGAGCAGAAGGCTTTGGAGCAACGGAAGTTGTATGTTTCTTGATACTCTGTGAACAGGTGGTGCTTTGAGAACATTTACTTTTATAACCAAACACCAGCAGGGTTTGTTTCGCTTTGTCGGCAGAAATGCCAGTCTTTATTTTTTATATGTTAATTGGGGGCATCATAATACAACTTTTTCATTATCCATATATACCAAAATTACAGCTTTGAGTGTGGACCAATGCCAATATTCACCCAAAACTATACCAGCATGAATCATACATACTTTTCATAACCTATTTTATAGTGTGGAATGATAGAAAAGGCTTCATCAAATGATATTTCTTATTTGGATGATATTGGACCAATTCTAGATATCAATACCTGATTGGAATAGCCCTAATGATAATTCAATGATGTTTCAACTTTATGTAAATTTAAAACAGTATTAGAGAAAGATAAAACAGCTCCTGTCCGAGACAGCCACCAATAACAAACCAACCTACAGCATCCATTACATGGTTATCTAAACATGCTCATCATCGACAGGCTGAGGAGGTTATATCTTTTTTCAAGAGTCATTGGACGACAGGTGAGAAACATCCTGAACAGGTCGCCCGTTCAGGTTGTACGACACAACACAGTGGAAAAAAACAGCTATGCACACAGAGATTCATACCTAATGGCATTTTGAAGGGGCCAACTAAAATACTGTAGGGGTGTATGGTTAGTTAGTACATGTTATCACAATATAAGCCTCTCTTTCAAGTTGATATGAATAAATATTGTTTTTTTCTGTTTAAAATAAGGATTGAAGGAAAAAAAAAAACAATGAGAATTTAAGTTGTAAACTTAACCCAACCTTAAATCTATAAAAACAGCTCAGCCTTATCAGCAGCCTTGCTTAGCTTGGATGCAAGAGGTTGAGGAGCTAAACCCTTTCCTTTGTGTACATCTCCCAGAATTCCGTGCAGTGCTGGAACAGAGTTCAGTGAGTTTATAGAACACACTTTGGCTGTTGATATTTATCAGTTACCTACCGCAATACATATGGTATTTGTTTTACTGCCCAGCCTTTCCTTAGTTATGTTTTCTTTCATTTAGAGAGAACCCAACACATGCACAGGGTGAACATGTGTACAAACATGAAAAAAGGACCCAGAATGGGATTTAAACCCTTCTTCCTGTACGGCCACATTGCCAAAAACAGTTCCACCGTGTAACCTCATCCCATCCCGCAGCAATTTTATATCATAAAGATAATTGCCAGTCTTCAGTTTGTCAGCTTAAGAGAACAGCTTGTAGCTAGTCGAGCTTTTTTACTGTTTGTCTTAATTATTGTCCTTTTTATCTCACAAACACTTTGATATTCTATTTACACATTAATACCAACAACATCCAGTGGATTAAGCAATGAAAACCCTGAAATATGCGCATAATAAATAAGGAGAGTGACCATATGAGCATGGATTTGTTTCAGTTATATTTTCACAGGAAAAGACTAAATCAGAAAAAATGTTGAACATCCCTCGGATATGGAAGGACTTATGGGAAGCGGCCGGCGTCCCAGAGGATGATGGAGGCCTCAGCTGTGAGGCAGAAAGCTCATTCTGAGAGCCACGAGCTGCACATAGCTCACAGATAACACGGGCCGACAGCAGCGTCCAAATGGCTCTGTTCATCATCATTACCATGATGGTTCATCCTCAGCAAAGCGTAGGACTAATGAACCAGGCAGGGATCCCAGACAGGGTGTTGTAATGGCTAAATCCTGGCGTCACAGCGCTGCTTTTTCATCCACTTACCCTGATTTGGAATCGTATGCCCGGGTCTCGTTTTGCACGGTCCCTCCTCTCTGCACAACCTCAGTCTGTCTCTGGATCTCAAAGTCTGGCAAAATAAAACATGAGCATGATACAGAATGCAACTGAAACTTGGTGTTCAATGCTAAACACCTGCTGCCACACAGCGATATTCCTCACTTCACCTCACTCTCACATCAAATGCACCGAACACCTCAAGAGCTGATTGTTTCCAGTTACAGTTCAGTCCAGGGTCGATATAACCATGAATGACAGACGATCTTTATTAAAGAGGGAAAGTCAGACGATCTCTCACTAACTGTACTTAAATGGTTGCCAGTCTTTAACTGTCAACATTTTTTTAACATTTCAGCCTTGGAAAACGTTTATTTTTAATCGCAAGAAGAACAAAAAGTTTTATTTTCTGAAATGTGAAGAGAAAAGCTATGTTGCTCTATTGGAAAACTGGAATAGGCAGGTTTGTGAATAAATATAACTTAGAGGTCAATATAATGGAATCTGTCAAACAGCTTTATTACCAGGAAAAAGTTCCATTTAAAAAGAAAAAGCAAACTGAGTTTTTTATATGAAAGTAACAAAAAACATGCTGAAATTATAAATATTTTATAAATGACCTCCACCTCTTCAGATTTCTGCTGGATATAACTTTCCATAGTGAGGCAACTTTCTAAGAGTGAGGGCGTCATTTTTAATTAAAAAAAAACATTAAAAGTTTAAAAATATAGTTATGTAAAACAGCCTATCATAAAAAAGTCTATTTTAATCATTTTTGCTTATTTGCTGCCTCTGTGACCCAGGCCCCCTACTGTTTAAAACACTTTATCAACTTAAGATTTTTACTAAAGTAAAAGTGTAAAAGTACGATTTTTAAAACTACTTAAGGTATAAAAGTAATGCAGGAAAAAAAAATAAGGACAGAAGCTTTAAACCTTTTACTGCACTACCCTATTAAAGGAACATTTCTGGATGACAACTTCCTTATATTTAATTTGCTTAATTTTATAACTAATGGTAACAGCGTCATATTTAACTTTGCATCATCTTGAAAAAATATTTATTTTGGTGCAGTAGTGAAAGAAAGAAAAGAATTGTCTCGATGAAACAAATAATTTTTATGTTTTTTTAATATTTTAAATACCAACAGGCCATAACAAAAATTAGCTTAAATGAAATAAAACTAATGAGCCTATTCTTAAAATGTAAGTAGTAGAAAGTTGAGATAATAATAAAAAAAAACAACCAAAGGAGTAGAAGTAAAAATTTGACAAAAAAAAAATGACTCCATTAAAATCTAGATAGCCAAGATTTATACTTAAGTAAGCTAACAAAGTATTTGCACTTTGTTACTTGACACCTCTGACGGCGAGTACATGCCTTTCCATTTCAGCTCCCAAAGCTTTTTAACCTCTTCTCTGTCCTCACCTATAGCCCTGGCCAGATATCTAATGCTGTTGATGTTCTTCACCTCCGTCCTGATTCCCAGCGGCTCTCCTGGTTTGTGTACTGACACGTTGGCATCAACTCTTAGCTGCCCCTCTGGGAAAGACAGTGGTGAGGGATACATACAGAAAAATGATACAATTTCTGTTGAAATTTCAAGCAGAAAATAGAGAAAAAAAATGTGTACAAGAGAATGGAAGAGATTTTCCTACCTGACATGTTACCTTGACAGGTACCGAGGGCCTGCAGGATGAGCTGAAGCTCTCTGACAGCTGCTGCTGCTTCCTCTCCACAGCTCATGTCCGGCTCCATCACCAGCTCCATTAGGCCTACACCTGGTGCATGTGCAGACAGCTGTGTTTTACATCCACAAGGTATCGATCTTATGGCGCTCTGACAAAGCTGAGCTGAGAAATGTTCTGTGTGTCTAACCTCACTTTGCTGTTACCAAGAGTGGTGTTAGAAAAAAAAAAAAAAACTATGCAAATATGCACTTCAAAGCTTCACTTCTGCCTTGAATTTTAACTGGGTAAAAATAAGAGCAGATTGAATGTGGATGACATGTTTAAAACTAACTCAAAATGAAACAGCCTCCACATTATTTGGAAGGATGAAAGAAAGACTTGTAATAAAATCAGCCTTTAAGTGCAGCAGCATATTCCACCTCTGCTAATACCAGAAAATAAAAACATTTTGTTTTAATATTTATTCAGTAGAGGGCAAAAAGCAATGTTAAGAAATAAGTTACTGATGCCAACATCACCACTGTCACCTCTAAATATTCCAATAGAGCAGAGGTCACGGATTAGCGGACCGCGGTCAGAATCCGGACCGATCTGCTGGCTAATCCGGACCCAAACTGAAAAAAAGTATAAATTACTGCCTGTTGTCCGACAACAGTGTAAAAGTTCACTTGGGCCACTTCTCCTGTGTATATGGTAAAACCCTCCAGAGCACCTGGGACCAGGCTACACATGATACAAATTACCCAATGAGCTGTGTCAGTCAGAAGCAACTTTTAGACACAGCAGGCAAACCTGTGGCAAGCCGGGCGGTGGGAAAGAAGAAGACAATGAGAAAAAGAGAAAAGAAAGTGTGAACTGCTGGAAGAACTGCGGTGAACTGGTGAAGGCAAAGTGAAATGGCGTGCTCAAAGATGACCCTGCAAATTTTGAGTATTTTTGACTCAACCTGCTGCTGTGAAGCAGGATTCTCCACCATGAACAGAATCAAAAATAAATATTGATCCAGGCTCAAAATGAGCAATAAGTGCTTGAGAATGGCTTTGTCGCCATTCAAAGCCAGATTTAAAGCCTTGAAGGTCAGCCTAAAGCCCATTTCTCTTATTAAGCCATAAAAAAGAAAGAAAAAAACCCCCAAAACTGGCGCCGTACACTGGCTCCACCGTCAGACCACCATCAGTAGACAATGCAGGTGAAGTGTCTTGCCCAAGGACACGACACTGAAAGTCGGAGTCGGGGCCTGAACAGTCAACCCTTCGATTTCAGGGCAAACTCCTACATCCAACGCCACTGTCGCCCTAAAATATGTGAATCAGAAAATTATCTATATACCAAACTGAAAGACTGTTGTTCTCTACTTCAAAAAACACTTTAGATTTAAAAATGTAAAAATATCCTATTTTTTTAATATATATTTTTCTTTTTATTTAAAAAGTCAATGTATAACATGGATGCATAAACACCTGTATTTTATTTCAGAGTTAAATTCTGTTTAAAGTAACGGATTATAATTAAATTTGTCTCGGGACACTTGCTGGTTTTTTTCAGACCCCGCTGATTTATAACTAGTTACATCTGCAATAGAGTAAGTTAATTAGATTGTCAAAGAATTATTATTAGGCATAGATATGCCATAAGACTCATTGTTATTCAGCTAATCTTCAAACTGGGAAAAACAAGGATTCATACCATTCAAGTGGGGTTTGTTTGCGTCGACAGTCACAGGTCAGGAATTAGTTGAAAACAGCGCTTTTTTGTATGAATTGAATTAAATATTTTTAAAAAACAAAAATCTTGAGATTAGGGCTGCAACTAATGATTATTTTGCTAATAGATTAATCTGTCGATTTTTTTTTTTTTTGATTAATCGATTAATTATCAGATAGTTAAAGGTCCCTTAAAGAAGATTTTTTTTTACGAAATCAAACCAGATAAAAATATAAAGAAAATTTTTACACTTAAGGAGTTCTGGATAGAGTATATTGGTGGACGAAAACATTTCTGTTCTTGCAAAAAAAATGTTTATATGTTTTTTACATCTTTGTATAATTACAGCTCTAAGTGGGTTGCTCTGTTCTAGAGTCTCTATACTCCAGTTAATGATTGATCGATTACTCAATTAGTTGATGATTATTTCAATAATCAATTAATCATGATTAATCTGATTAATTGTTTCAGCCCTAAGTGAGATTAAAAAAAAACATCTACCAAACCCTACTGCTTGAGAACTGCAGCATAAAGTGGCATTAGTGACATTAGTAAAAAAGGCATGTCAAAGCTTCCATCTTTGGTGAGGAGCTCTAAGTTAGAGGTTGGAATTCTTCCTCATCATAAACCTAACATTTAGCTTCCACCACTGTTGTTTCAAAGATCTTTAGTTAAATAAGAAAAGATTGTTTTATTGTAAGGTTTCTGACATATCCCCATCAGTGATATATAAGTTTCTGTAATTTTCAGGAATCCACCTTTAGAGCTGATTTACACTGCTCCGAACGTCACTAATTCACCATGAAAAAATAGAAGCTAAAAATGGCTCCAAGATACTGTTAAAACACTGTTTGTCCCTGAATGATGCTCTAACACTTGACTAAAAGAAATAAAAACAGAATGAATCAGTTTCATCGGCAGTTCATCTTTCTTTGTACGATGCGGCTCTCTAACCTGCTCTGTTAAGGTCGATGAGTGTCTGACTGTGGACGTCATCATGCAGACTCTTCCCGCTGTCTTGTTCCAGCTGAATCTGTTTAATGTGAACATTTTTCCTGATCACCTGGTTTCTCTTCTTCCCTCCCAGGACGCTGTAGGTAAGCATCCCGTCCACTGCCACTGGGCGACGCTGCTGAGTGATCTGGTATCCTGCCTGGAAGAGACCAGGTGCAATGATGACATGATGAATAATGGCAGACCAAAACAAAAAAAAATACATTTTTAAATGCCTCCAAGACACAGATTCTTAATTAGATACAGGTCTGAGTTTTGACTGAACTATTTTGGCAAATAAATACGCTTTGACGTTCCATGCTCTGAGCTTTTCTAGCCTTAAACTGGTTTCTTACAGGAATTGCCTTGTTTTATAGTCTCTCACTCTTCAATCTGGCCAGCTTGCTTGCCTCTTTGGTGCCACCTCATTTCAAAGCAGCAGTTCTTTGCAGGAAGTCTAGAAAGCTCAAATATTGTTGCATCGACTCCTGGTTCTCCTTCTATGCTTGAGTCAGACTGCAAATAGGATCCTTTATGGCTACCTCCTACAATGGTTTCTTTAACGTTTCCATTATAGAGTTCATTAGCGGTAAAGTTAACAGATTCTTCCACCTGAGCTGTGGGTGTCTGCAGCTCCTTCAGAGTTACCATGGGCCTCCTGACTGCTTCTTTGATTAATGCCTAGCCTGTCAGTTCAGACCATCTCTTGGTAGGAATATATAGATAATATTTCTTTCTCTGACCCGTCTGCTATGCTTCTTATTCGTATATCATTCTTTTTATCCTGTTCTTTAAACAATCTCTGAGGCCTTTAAAAGAAACTGTAAAAACCAGGATTAAATTACTAACTAGGTTATTTTTTTCTAAGGTAGTCAGTTACATTGGAATTTAATTTGGAGCTAACATATACATAGGGACTGAATAAAAGTGTACAGTAATATTCTGATTTTATCCACTTTTTTTAGACTGTTTCTTTGCTCTTGATAACCCTCCATCCTATCCACTTTATCACACATTTACGTGAAGCTGTGTGTTTATCAAATAAGATCTTAATACAGGAGGTCTGAGCTTGTAAAGGGACTAAATGTGGAAAAGGGGGAAGGATAACGATCAACTCATATCGATCATAGTATCCAGTCAGAATCCTAAATCTAAACGGGATGATAAAACTGCCTAAAGATCATGAGATAATTACGTCTCAGTACAGGTGAGACGGGTGGCATCATTAGTTATGCCACAGCGCAGCTTTTTCTTTTGAGGACAGCAGAAAAAAATGTTTTTTTGTTTCTTTGTTCCAGTGGCCCTAAGTATTCATTTCCCCATATTACTATGGCAACTACATCAAAAGAAATAAACATTTATCCTATTTATGTTAAAGAGAGCGAGAATGTGGGAGAAAGATACGAGTGGGGCTGTTAGTCACCAGCTTTATGACTGACACCATCAATCATCTCCACGCTGCTTCCTGCTAAAACAGAAGGAAAGAAAAACAACTGAACTCAGCAGGCCTCTCAGCTTGGTAGCTCCTATCATTAACTCTTCCGTTTTAAAGATTATGCATTGTCTTTTCAAGAAGCACCTCCTTTGTAATTTTCATTCACTTTTTTTTGTTGTTGTTGACTCAATTGTCTCTCTAGACGTTTTATACATCATGTAAACTGGGGAGTATCTGAGTTGGGGAACAATATTGTATTTGCTGCAGAATGGATCAGCTGGTCTGCAGAAGAAACATGTTTTTCTTTTAATGAGATCATGGTGGCCACATTAAGCATTCCTGTATCTGCTCAGAAAGCAACCTCTGTCTTAATGAGCAGTTAGATGGTCTCAGACGCTCATTTCTGTGCTGAGAGCCGCTGAGTCATTTACCGACTCATTCCAAAGTAGCTAAACAAACAACACTGTGAGGGTCAGCTCGTTCACGGCTCCTGCACGCTGATTGCGTTCCCAGTCTTGATGCTGCAATCATAGAGTCAATTTAATTTCTTTCCTTAGGCACACCCCAAAGCCTCAACAACACAGACATCTTTGTTTCTCAAGGAAACTTTAATCATTGATAACGGTGGAGTTGCCATTTAATTAAACAAAACTCTTGCTTCAGTTTAAAGAGGGAACGCTGGTCGGATTAGTCTCAAAATGAACAGCTGAGGCGTTTTATCCAAATGTAATCAGGAATTCTTTGTGGATCTCATCAATAATGTGCAAAGCAGTGTGGAAAATGTATTTCTTCAAAAAGCAGTTACGTCTCCCTCGGTTCTGTTGCCTCAAAGTAGAGGCTACAGGAGGACGAAAGTGATCTCACCAGCTGCATAATTAAAGCCACTCTTCATTGAGTTCATCAAGCTGTTTTAAGCAACAATGGAGGCACTACAGTCTGCAGGAATCTAAATCCGTTTTGAATCAGGCAACAGCAGGGACTGTTCTCAGTCTGTTAAGAAAACTTAAAGAAAAAAATAAAAGAGGGCAGGATTAACCTCAGGGGCTACTACCCTGATGGAAACCAAGCACGGTACTTTTAATGCATGAATTTTAAACACAAATTAAGGTTCAGGATACTGACGAGAGATTTCCTGCAGATTTCAAAGAAAAAATATCACTGTAATTAGACATCAGCATCCCTGCTGTGATCCCAAGGCTGAGAAGGAATCCAAACGAGAGCAGTTTGGATTCCTTGGATAAATGCTTGAGAAAATCCTCAAGCTTTTCCAAAATGTACAGATTTTTAGGGGAGATGATGAATTATATAGGATGGTAAACAGAAAACATTGCAAATGCTAGAAAGTTCTGATAAACGGGGATTCTCTGAATATTAAACAGTTTTCCAGTTTTTCCTCCAGTGTTGACAAACTAAAACAGTCTTTACAGACACAAACTGCTTTAAAATAAGTTTTGTTGAGATTTTTTACTAATGAAAGCGTTCTGACATAAAGAGGCAGCATTTGTTTTATTCTTCAAATTCTGCGCTTGGGTCAAGTCCCAATCCCACAGACCGGCACTTTGGGTCCCTAGGCAAGACTCTTAACCCCACGCTGCTCCCTGAGCCCCAAACAATGGCAGCCCACTGCTCCCCAAGGGGATGAATCCAGAAAGGTAAATATAAACATGAAAACGTTTTACAGCAGATTGAAAATAAGAAATAAAATCTTTGAAAAAAAAAAAAAAAAAAGAAATAAACATATTTTTATGTTTGTTTCCCCCTCTTTTTACAATTCATTTATTTCATTCAAAATTAAAGTCTTAGTCTTGCTTTTAAAGAAGAAGTTGCAATGAAAAGTTGGATTTAATTTTCATGTAATTTCCTGCAGTGTGACTGTGTGAAACCCTTCTTTAGGCAGCTTTAATAAAACAGGAGGTGACATCTTCAGGTTAACAATCATCCTCCTTATTATCTTTGCCCTGAGCCATCCATAATCCCTTTTTAGTGGGTTTGGACAGAATTTGCAAATTTAAAATGCTAAACTCTGCTAGACGGGGCAAGTCACTGTGGAGCAACCATGACATTTAATCTTTTCCTTAAAATGTCACTCATAATGCCAGGAAAATTAGCCCCGGGGTCTGGAGAGGTTGGGAAAGATCACGGTGCAAAAGGTCCTTTTTAGAAAGCAAAAGAAGAACCAGCACTGTGAGCAAAGCTACGTTTTCTAGACCTTTTCTAACTGGAGCAATCATGTTATACAGTTATACCTTTAATAAGGAAAACAAGATGTTTTTACAGTTAGAGCTCTTTAGTAAGCTGAGCATCAATGTTGTGTTTCATTTATCATCATTTTAGAGTTTTTTATGTTTTCAAGAGGAGAAAACAAATAGAAATGAAAAAGGAAGGTGGTGAACTCTAAGATAAAAATATCCACAGTATACAGCCTTTTATTATTGCTTTTCTTTCAAATTAAGTCCTGCTATTATTCAGTTATTCTGGACATATCTGGGTTTTTTGGGTGTACTTTGTTTGTTGAAGCACAGCCTCTAAATCATTTTTATGTTTACTAAATATTGAGGCTTTTATTCTGCAATTCCTTTTAATACCTGAACTTTTTGCCCTTACAAAATGTATTGTTCTAAAAAAAGAAAGATGGTGCCATTACTTTTTACCATTGCTGTGTCTAAAGAGCTGTGTTAACAGGTCACAATTATGGTGATGATTCATTATAACTACTCATGTAGGGGCGTTTTTAGGACAAACAGATGGTTACAGTGAAGATCAGGTAATGATTAAATGACCAAGAGAAAACAAAATAAGTATTCAGATCATAAGACCTGCATAATTAGCTATCAGGGTTTTCACAGGTGCATTTTAGTGTAGCTCGATACGCTAAAATTTGTCACTACTATGCTGAAGTTTGGCTGATACACTCAGTTTTATGATAATACAGGCTTTTTGACTGACAACAGGGCTCCCACTTTAGGGTCCTTACCATTACAGTCCTTACTCTAAAGTTAGACTGATATACTGAATTTTATTAAGCGTAAAGGCTGAAGAAACAGTGTTTTTAAAACAAATGTACCTCCTTATTTGCACATATATGTGAGAACCTTGTCTGATGGCGAACTGGGACCCAGCGCTCTGAAAACATGGACCAACCGCCCTCCCTGCACCTTTATGACACTGTCATTGACTCAGGTCTGGTCCTAATACTTTTACCCTTTTTTTCAAGATCAAAAAAATCATCGTAGAAAATGAGAACATCCATAGATAGACCTATTTAAAAAAACAAAAGGTTGATGTAAGCACATGTATGACTTCTAAAAAGTATGCCCATTTTTTTATGCAATCAGTACTTTGCATGATTTACTGCATCAGTGCACCATGGCAGAGAGATCATCATGTGGCTCTAAGAAGGTTTAATGGAAGCCTGGTTTGCTTTGCCAGCAGCCCTAAGGTCACACATAGATTTACTGATAGTTTAGTTCTAGGGAGTTTGCTGGCCGATGCATTACAGCAATACCCTGGTAGTCAGTAAGGTTTTGATACATTTGGCACTGAATGCAGGTATCAAGTTTCACTGGATAAATAACGATCAGCATCTCCATGCAGTTTGCCAGCAGAAGGAAGCATGAAGTGCTCTAGAATTTTCAAGTTGGTGACCAATGGATCAACACCAGAAGAAGCCATGGCCCCACACACCATCACTGACTGTGGAAACTTCAAACTAGGCTTTCAAGCAGCCTCTCCAGTTGGACTGGGACATTTTCAAATACTTTTCAAAAGTGATATAAGATAGGATAATACTTTGCTTTATGTCACATCATGGATGTCTTTTTTTTGGGGGGGGGGGGGGGGTTAGGGGGGTTAGGTTATGTCTCCTGCACTTTTTCAAATGTTCTATTTTGTCCCCTGCAAGTTTTACTGTTCAAAAACAATTTTATGCTACAGTACACAGACAATCGTCGAGCACTAGGACCAAGTGGAAAACCACAGTTCAAGCTGAAGCCCACTTCCCTGAGTTTAGACCGCCCACAAGCTCCTGATTGGCCCACCATCTTTTCTTGAGCAATTGGCTGTCCCCACTGTCACTCTGTAGAAGCTCACTTTACAAACATCTGAGGTGCCACTGAATCTGGTCTGTGATTGGATGGTCAAACACACTGAAGTTAGGTATATTAAACTACTCGCGTTCCCCCACTTCTGAAATCAAAATCTCATCCATGAGTTGCATAATAATTATACTTCATATATCCACCCGTTCCTCCCTCTCTTCTTCCCCACTTGACCTTTTGTGGCTCACCGTCCTTGTGAACATCTTTCAGGTCAGCAGTCTTCACCGTCATCCTGTAGCCTGCTGACCCACAGTGACAAGGCTCAGCAAACATTTGCAGGTGTTTTGAATTATTAGCTGATTAGGGCATGACACCATGAGCTTCCAGTAATGAAAATTTTCACCATGTTTTATTTCTCTGAGATGCTGAATTGTTAGTTTTGACATTTATAGCAGCCATAAATGATTAAATTACCTAAAAAAAGGCTTGGAATATTTTACTTCCGGTGTAAGGGTTCTATATAATATATTGATTTCCATATCTGTGATGACTGGCCAGAAATGCTGCACTTTTAAGTAAGACTGATATTGTTTGAGATGTTTAGTAGATGGGGTTCATACAGATTGTTTAGTATCTGTGTTCACAGAAGTTCTGCAAGTAGGTGACTAAGCAGGGCTGCATTTTTTATCATTATATTCCTATATTGTGTCTGTTGTTTATTCATCTATTCAAATGAAAACTATTTAATAGGTGAGCAAAAGGGTCAGCCTTGTTTAACTTGTGGTAGGGCGCCCTGTCCCATAAGAGCCAGTCTAATAGAGATGCATCTCATTCTTATTTACTTCACTCTAAGATCAGTCTGAGGAAGACCTGATATCCTCCTTACTTAGTACATTGAAATGTCTGAGCGGTTTCTTGGATGCTCAGACTATCTTAAAGTCACTTTGCTGCATCTAGTGAGATCTGGGCTTTGGTTCATACCAGGAGCCAGCCAGTTACGGATGGTCCAATATTTTTCTAACACAACAACGTTATCCTAGGAAGAAGTTCTGGACTTTACAGTGTTTTCTGTTATACCGAGCTGTCCATTGGTTAAGCAGCAAGCATCCCCAAACCATAACACGTCCACTTCCTTGTTCAACAGCTGGTAAAGCCTGGTTCAAATGGCAAGATTTTAAGTTCGTCGTGATTTTCAAACCTGAAGGCACCTAAGACATGATTTAAACTTTTCTTTATTAATTTTTTTTTTATTTGTAGATTTAACAGGTTTGGTCCTGCAGGATGCAGTGTACATGGATATGGAAGCACAACATATAAAAAAAATTTCATTCAGGAAAATTCAAATGCTTAACAAAACCTATTGAGATCAAAATGCTAGTACAGAGTAGGGCTGGACGATGTAGCAAAAAGCATATAGAAAAAAACTGATATTGATTGATATCAATAATTATCTAAAAGATGCTAGAGATTTATTTCTCAGGTTCTATTCTCTGTCTATGTAGTAAATTGAGAGGCTGAGGTAAGGCTGGGAGGTGTGACTTGACCTGAGGTCCAATGTTGTGGTGTAGTTGGACACATATTGCAGCTAATTTTGCACTGATTCCCTGCACTCATTGTACAAATTAGGGAGCCCTGAGTTAGAGAAAAACTTGCAGCCCGGAATTTGAATCCCGGATTAACCCCCAGATTCCACATACTCCGTCAGAGCTCCGCTGCACCCCGCTCACTTACGTCATGCGGAGTACTTGTTTGTCATGTTAATCAATAAGAACTGTTCAACATCCGCCGCTGCTCCTCCGCCTGTCATCATCCACCTACATCTTCTCCTACGGTCACCGTCAAAATACGGAGCTGAGCTATTTTTTGCTCCATTCCGGTCCGGCCAGGTCAAGATCCGCAATTGCAATCGCACCAAACAGAAAAAAGAATGTAGAGAAGATCTGGTTTGTCAAATCAAAATATTTTAGTGATGGATTGGTACTACAAATTATAGCATAATTCTTATAAATTCCCCAAAACTAAGGCAATTTAATTAAATTATTAAATGGAAACTATTGGTTCTTCAACATACCAGGAAGCAGATTTCTCATCTTGATCAAAATATTTATTTTATACCGAGAGTATTAAAAGTTTAATCAAATCCATTCGAAAGAAACTTCTTATCGCAGGCATGCATGAAGAGATGCTGAGTTTGGAAGTAGATAACAAACATCGTTCATACAAACCAATTTTGTATGATCCTAGTTATCCCTGTTACAAAAATCCACAACAAAAAGAAAATATTTGGGCAGAAACTGAACATATCCTGATGGGGATTTTTTTTACTATGTCATATTAAATAAAGTGTTCTTTTCCGCATGTTTTGCTCCTATAAATTTAATAACAATATCGCGCATCCTCTCCTGGAGCTTCAAGGAAGTCAGAGCGGGGCAAGAGCAACGGCGGAGGCTGTAGGCTTTGCTTTGCGCAGGCGGTCTGGAGCGCAGCGGGGCGGAGCGCTGACGGAGGATGTGGGATTTCGGGGTAAGAGTGGCGAGCAGCTGTTTGAAGCCAGGTTTTTCAGCTGCAGACAACGACAGCATAACCATGATGATGAAACATGTTACTACATGAGTGATGTCGTTTGTCACTTGGACGCTTTGTCATATTTATCACAAAGAAGGAAGCCCAGTTAATCTTGCTTTGTCTGCTTTGTTTTGGCAGAAGTTCCTGAAGATTCCTTCGATGATGAGGAACCACACTGGGGTCGACAAGCTCGTTCTCCATTGGGTGTGAGCAGCATAGATGATAAAATTGGTTGGCTGTGTTACCAGACTTTGTTTTTACCGATTCCCTGCAAATTTTACAAATCCCTGTGGTTTGGTTTCTGTCTGACTTGCTAAACCAAAATATTACCAAACTGGGGACAATTTGCACTTCAGTTTCCTCTGCCTCTCCTGCTGCAACATCATCACCTGCTCTGTGTTGTGGTTTGAGAGGGTGGCGCTTTGTCACGGCTTGCCTGGGTCCGCGATTGCGACTGGTTGGAATTGGTGACTGTAGCCTGAACCTACATTATAGGCTACAATGAAAAGGAAGGAAAAATGTCTTTCTATATGGAACTTTTATCGACCCTCTTTTTTTTCTATTGCGCCACACGACTATCAATCAATATATATTGTTAATAAATTATTGTCCAGTCCTAGTTTGGAGTAAATAAGCCGGCCAACAAGACGGTGGCAATGATATATTTGATATTTAGTGGACTAATTGTAACAGAAAGTGCATTTCAGTAAGAAAAAGTGTTGGTAAAAAAAGCGAAGGCTCTCTTCACTAAACTAGTGAGAAGATCTTTCGGAATGACTTCACGTCATGTTTGACAGCTTTCAGCCTCATCTGAGCTCAGAGAACACCAAATGCGCTAAGGCATCTGTATGCTGGAAATCCCTGATTTGTTTTTGGAGCAGTCTCCATGTCTTTAAACGCAGACATGATCACCCTTAAAAAAACACACACCAAGATTATATCAAAACATTATTCTAAGAGCTGTCACAATAATTAGAGCATCTGTGAAGGTGAAAGTAAGCACAAAAACCTGTACTGTTATCTTACCATGTGAACCCAGCATGAGAGGTTATTTTCCCTGAATGCTGTGTTTGGTTTATGAAACAAACCACGTCCTCAATGTTGTTTTACAATTCAGCTTTAGATTGGTAGGTCGAAAATACATTAGTCCAGGATCTAAGTTTTGTTTACATCCTTTCTAGCAAGCATCAGCCTGGTCTTCGGGTTTGTCAAAGAGTCTACCTTTCAAACTACCCATTAAAGTTTGATTGTGTGGTCTCTGTCTGATTTCAAGGGGTTGAAATCACAATAACGACTGAAAGAGCCTTCTGTAGGTCCAGTGGTGATTTTTATTAGAATTTTGGGATTACCTCTTCCTGCTATTTTGTTTTCATTGTATTAGGATGATTTTAAGTTCTTTTGAGACATCAACTTTAAATCCATTACCAGACCCATAAGCTGCTCCAATCTTCTTCCTGAAGGCCCCAGGCAGCTTTCTAGATCCCTCCATGGTGTTCACTCTCATTTTAACAGTCAGGAACCAGAGTGCCAAAATAAATGTCTGAGGTTTAAACAGGACAAACCTTTAAAATGCTATTTAATAATGCTCCCATTATCCACATTTGTGTTTTTAAACATTTTATATGTTGATAAATATGGGGTGTCCAAATGTATCCCTCAACAAAAAATTCAGCTCTAATTAAATTATTTTACAATAAAGATACTTTTAGGGTATTTCTCCTCAGTTTTAACTAATAATCTCATTACATCCCATCACAATTTATTATAAAAACACACGAGCAAATAAGCATCCATGCCAGCAAACACTGGCAGATGATAATTCTCCCTGGAGTAATGCCTTTCTACCTCTGACTGACATATACCATAACAAACATAAAGAACATGCATACTCACAGGAAGGTCAGCATAAAAGTAGTGTTTCCTGTCAAAGAGGGATCTCCTATTAATGGTACAGTTGAGAGCCAGTCCTGTCATCACTGCTGCTTCAACACACCGCCTGTTGAGAACCTTCAAACAAATTGGAAAATAAACATCTGATCTAGAAGTAGAACATTTCACCAGTTTCCAGCTGATTATGGATAAGGTAATAATATCACTCACGGGTAGTGTGCCAGGCAAAGAAGCATCAAAGAATGAAACCAAGGAGTTTGGAGGAGCTAAAAACTGAACCGAGGAGCCAGAGAACAGTTTGGTGTTTGAGCTAATCTGGGCGTGTATTTCCAAACCGACCACTCCGACCAGCTGCTGTGGATCCCTGTGATACATAACAGAAAAAAAATATTTCTATTTACTGCTCGGATTATCTTACAATTTCAGTTAATGAGGAAATTTATTATTGTAGATGATTTACTTGAAAGTTGTTTTAATTTTTTTGTGTTAATTTCATTCTTTTGATTTTAGACAATTTTTTTAAATAGGGGTGTAACGACACATTTATACACATTATATCTGTTACACCTTAGCTGCTCCATAAAATTCTATAATGCAATGATACGGCAGTGACTTCACAGCAGACTGTTCATTAGCTTGGATTTAAATTTGCTATATTAAAAGACGAAAGACACTACCACACCTTATTTATTTTAAGTCATTTTGCAATAGTAGCGCTCCCAAATACCTTAATATGGTGCAGCCCTTTAAAAATCATCAACATACAGCTATCTCAGTATTGCTACACTTAAATTTAAAAAGGATTTTTCATTAAAACGTAAATCTGCATCTGATTGATTTCTTTCTCTTAAAGGAGAAGTTCGGTTTTTTACACTTTAAGCCCATTTTCTGTAGTGTCCAGGATGAAATCGAATGATCGACACCAAAAGTTTGACAATTGCTCCTGTCTCTGCTTTTTGGCTCATTTAGAATCACCCCCTGGCTGCTTTAGAATGGCTTTCATAGAGCATGTCCGATAATGTCCTTAAAACAACCTTAAACGTTCTTTTTTTAAATATGCTACTCACCGTGTCGTCAGCGCTGTTCAATGACGTTCCAAAAAAAGTTTCGTGAAGAAAAAACGTTCCCGTAGTGTTTTATTTAGCATTTTGTAAATCCCATTGAGTTCTGTAGGAATAGTCAATATTCCGCTGCCACCGGAAACAGAAATGGAGCCTGTTTACACAGTTGTAGTCTTTTCGCTTCACTCTGTGTACTCCGACGTCGAGAATCAAGAATCCACCTTTCGTATTCCATTTTCAGAGTTTTTTAAAGTGTTTAACAGAGACGTTAGCACCTCGACGTCGGAGTACACAGAGTGAAGCGAAAAGACTACAACTGTGTAAACAGGCCCCATTTCCGTTTCCGGTGGCAGCGGAATATTGACTATTCCTACAGAACTCAATGGGATTTACAAAATGCTAAATAAAACACTACAGGAACGTTTTTTCTTCACGAAACTTTTTTGGAACGTCATTGAACAGCGCTGACGACCCTGTGAGTAGCATATTTAAAAAAAGAACGTTTAAGGTTGTTTTAAGGACATTATCGGACATGCTCTATGCAAGCCATTCTAAAGCAGCCAGGGGGGGATTCTAAATGAGCCAAAAAGCAGAGACAGGAGCAATTGTCAAACTTTTGGTGTCGATCATTCGATTTCATCCTGGACACTACAGAAAATGGGCTTAAAGTGTAAAAAACCGAACTTCTCCTTTAACAGAACACAGTTTAGTACAACCAGCCAAACTCTGTTTACTGCAGGTAACACACTGACTGCTCATAGATACCTACCCCTAACCCCATTAAATAACCAGGGCAGAGGGCCTCAAGAGCTACCATCCTGTACCCTTTACATGCGTCTCTTCTATAACACACCTGAATCTAAAGGTTCAATCTTCTCATTTAACTCAGGCATGGTAATGAGCCTCTCATTTGATTCAGGTGTGTTAAAAATGGGCTGCATCAAAAAGGAGCAGGATAGTAGACTTGAGCACCCCTGAACTAGAGAATTAAAAATGTTTTTGCACCATTACATTCCACATTAAACACTATGACATAAAATTTGAACAATTTAGATTAATATAAATATGGTAATTGTTACCTTTGGGCCTGCAGAAGTTGACTGCTAAAATGTAGCCTTGAAGAGCTTGTTCGTCTAACAAAATGTATTAATTTGATGTTATGAAGCAGCTCACTAGCTGCCATACAGGAGGCAGCCATGATACCAGAGTCAGTCAGGGGATTATGGGAGTTGTAGTTTGATTAAAGCTCTTTAATATGAAAGAGAACGGGGCTGTAGCTTAAAACTACACTTCCGTTCAGAATGCGTCACTTCCGTTTGTTGGTTGCAATCCGCCAATCTAACGAAGAAGAAGAATGCGTCACTTCCGTTCTACCAACTGGCGGGACTTCTTCACATGGTAGAAATCTACGAGCTGGTTGTTTTCCGACGTTAAAAGTTCATTTTTGCACTACAAGCTGCCAAAACATGATGGCAACAAACGGAAAAGACTCCAGAGGACTGGAAGCCGACGTTTCTTTAAACGGGAGCTGCGCGGAACCAGCTACGGTGGATGGAGCAGCCCAGGAGGCCCAGTCCGGCTTCAGAGGAGCGGAAGGACGCCCGCGGAGGTTCACCTTCAGCCCGGAGCCCAGCATGGAGGACATTCGGAGGATGCAGGCCGAGTTCACGGACGAGCGGGACTGGAATAAGTTCCACCAGCCCCGGAACCTGCTCCTCGCTATGGTCGGGGAGGTGGGCGAGGTGGCCGAGCTCTTTCAGTGGAAGGGGGAGGTGGCGGAGGGGCTTCCAGACTGGACCGAGTCCGACAGGGAGCAGCTGGCACACGAACTGAGCGACGTGCTGATCTACCTGGTGGAGCTGGCAGAGAAATGCCGCGTCGATCTTCCCCAAGCGGTGCTCCGCAAAATGGCGCTGAATCGACTAAAGTATCCAGCGAGTAAGGTGCATGGCTCGGCCAAGAAATACACCGAGTACAAGGACTGAGGTCTGGAGAGTCTGCTCTGGATCAGGGGGCTGGATGAGACCCATGCTGCTCAGCATCTTATGGTTCAAATGACATTATTCTGAGTCATCATCTAGAAAACAAGGGATGCCTCATTTTCTCCTCTATTAAAGGCAGCATTACGTTTTATTTCCTGACACAAACATTGCTGCCTTAATGTCTTTAAATTGGAGTTTTGCCTTGTGTTTTGGTAATCTTTTTTGTACTTTTTTTTTAAACAATGTTGTACAAATTCTTTGAGGAGGATATATGGGGAAGAAGATATTTCTCCCCATTCGATTTATACCTACATTTTAAGTTATTTAGTTTTGTTTCAGTATAAAGGTAGCAGTTTGGATAAAACCATCAAAGGAAGTTGAAATCCTGATGTGACAATCATTTTTTCTATTTTCCCATTAGACAAAACATGTTTATTCAGTCTGTACTGTTATTTCTTCTGACAGTAAAAGCTACTTGGAAAATCTGCCTATTTGTGCTTTTATCACGATCAGGAATACCTGAACTTTTCTTTTTTACTACATTCATTAAATACTGGAATTGCATTCCAAAACTACCCAGATTTTGCCAATGGTGTGCAAATTATCAGCTTTATCATGAATTAATATATCATTTTGATTGGATGACAAAATATTTGATGTTGCAGTATGTCATGATTCAATATTGTTGAAAAATCAGCATTCACCAAAGGGAAAAAACCCCCCAGCTTTTTTCATAAATACGAGATCAGTATCCCGTATTATGTGAAAAAAGTCCCATAATGATTACTTGAGCTAATAATTTAGCATATCTCAAAAAACTGGTCTTCATGATTACCTCTTAAAAATATCTGAATCTGCTCCACTGAGCAGTGCTCTGTACCCAGGTCTGACCTGATACACGGAGTTCTGCTCCTGTTTTTCTTCATCATTAAAGTACCCGGCTATAACCCATGAACTACTGCTTGTGGAGTAAGCATGCAGCAGTATGACAATACACAAAAATCCGTCAACAGCTCCATTAATACAGATTCCGTACGGTTTTAGTTTTTCATACGAATTGACATGCTGCATGAAGTTAGGATCTGGGTTTCTGAAGAGACGTTTTAAACGATTCTGAAGCCTCAGCTGTACTCCTTGTGGATCTAGGATTATTGAGCAGGTACCAAACAGTTCTTTGGGACACCACCAAGCCAGTTGGAATGCATTTCAAATGCTGTAATTTATAGCCATAAAGCATCCCAGGGGCAGCTTGACTTCCAGCAAGTCGGAGTAAAGCAGGCTTTGTTGCCTAAACAATAATAAGGACTTAAGGTACCTGGGCAATGTTAAAAAACAAATTCCATTCATCCATTTTCTGACATGCTTAACCCCAAGTGGAGTTGCGAGTGGTGCTGATGCATATCTCCAGCGGTCTACGGACAAGAGGCGGGGTACACCCTGGACAGGTCCACATTTGTGCGATCTTTTTGCTGCTGTTAACACCAGAATTTCCCCCATTGTGGGACAATAAATAAATTTTCTATCCTATTCTATTCCATTCTATTCTATCATGACATTAATCGTGTTGAAATAGGCAGATATTCTGAGAGAACTTTAAATCAATTGTCTCCCACGGAGGTGGAAGTATCATGATCAGGGGAGGATGCTCTGCTGCAGCACAGTCTGAAAAATCTCACCATAGAATCCACCATAAACTCTGCTTATAAAAAGATATATAAAGATAAAACAGACATAACAAACCAAATGTCATCAAGAACAGGCCTCTGATATTGAAGCATTTGATATAGTAACATTTATTCTGGAACAAAATAGATAATAATGGTATGATAATACTGTTAGAGTATTACTGCACTTCTTGAAGGTTTTTTTTTCTATTCTCTCATGAACCAGCTTTTGTAACTTTTAAATGTTGAAGTATTTAATGCTAATGGTTGGTACAAATTTAAACCTTGAAACTTTTAAGCATCGGTCATATTAAAGACAATTTTATTTAGAATATAATACTGGCACGGGCTGCCATGTTTTTATAAACCCTTCTTCCTCTTTAAAACTAACAGGTTTTAAGCATGGTAACCAAGGTTTTTTTAGAGAACTGCATTTTATCTGACCATGAATTGCTACCATTTAAACTAAAGCAAAAATGTGTGAAAAGGGCAATATTATTGACAGCATTAAAACCTTTTTTTTTCATAAAAAAAAGAAAGAAAAAATCCTGAGATAATAGGAGATCAGCTCCTATTCATGTATTTATTATTTCTGGCCTAACATTTATTCTTCCCATTTATTTCATGATTGAAGTAAAAAAAATAATAATAATTTCCAGTTATTTCATGCAGAGTGAAATACAATTAATTCTCTGTATTTTCAAATTTCCTGACAGAGGATGCATCTCTCCAAACCTACTGTATTTTAGGTAGTAGCAGAAATGCACCAAATGAAATCCTAGTTATATAATCATCCACCTTTTTGATGGGAGCCGGTATAGCAGCTACATGTGTAGAGGGAACATGATGCCAAATGTTTCTGTCTGCAGTCATTTGAAAGGTAAAACACACATCTGTGATGGGATCTGCTGTTCCACTGAAGATGAAAATGTTGGTTTAAAAAAAAAAAAAAAAAAAAGTATAATCTGATTTGTTTCAAGTCTCAAACAATGTCCTCATCAGGATCCCGGTAGTCACATCCCGGCATGACTCATCATCAGCAATCTGTCAAGGAGAACAGTCACGCATCCCTAAGATGCTGCAGCGTTTGAGCTAAGCCTGACTTCAAAGTAAACAGCTTTTTATTTAAGAAGATGTTTCGCAGCTTTTCAAAGTTTTGAACAAAAAATCTTTTTGGCATGCACCCCAAAAGCTTGGATCTCTAAACTTCCCCTCTTCTGATATAATTCATGAAGGTATTTCTCACTCAGGCAAAGAGAAATAATAGAGCTAATGAAAAAAGGGTTATCTGATATATTTGAATGAAAGGAGGACAAAGACAGAGCCCTTCTTAGCATAGGTTGTAAACCTTTATGTTAAAGTTTCAATGTTATTTCTCATTTATTAAGAGATTTTCTCTACAGATAAAATATGATTGTAAAAGTTCTTCACAAATTGCGACTTAGCCTTTTATGAAGGTTTCATCCATCCATCCATCCATCCATCCATCCATCCATCCATCCATCCATCCATCCATCCATCCATCCATCCATCCATCCATCCATCCATCATCTGTCTGTTTGTCCGTCATTCTATCCATCCATCATCTGTCTGTTCGTCCGTCATTCCATCCATCCATCCATCCATCCATCCATCCATCCATCCATCCATCCATCCATCCATCCATCATCTGTCTGTTCGTCCGTCCGTCCGTCCATCCATCCATCATCTGTCTGTTTGTCCGTCATTCTATCCATCCATCATCTGTCTGTTCGTCCATCCATCCATCCATCCATCCATCCATCCATCCATCCATCCATCCATCCATCCATCCATCCATCCATCTGTCTGTTTGTCAATCCATCCATCCATCCATCCATCCATCCATCCATCCATCCATCCATCCATCCATCCATCCATCCATCCATCCATCCATCCATCCATCCATCCATCCATCCATCCATCCATGCATACATGATTGTTTTATACAAACTTAATCATCATTTTGTACATACAGCATGTATACAAACAATATTTCATTCAGTACAGCTCTCAAGACATTTCCATTTCTTAAAGTGCAGCAATGATAAAAGGTAAATATGGTGATCAAATGTAAATGTAAGACTGAGATATGTTTTACAGTTTTGCAACATTCAGCACTCTTTTTTTTCTTTCTTTTCTGTTTCTCATTTTATAAAACATTCAACAGTCTAATGGCGGTGGGGAAGAAGCTGCTCTAGAATCTGCTGGACCTGCATCCAATGCTTCGAAGTCTCTTCCCTTCGAAGAGGGATGCGGGGAGAGCGGTCCACGGTGGGGGTCACCCATCCATCCATCCATCCATCCATCCATCCATCCATCCATCCATCCATCCATCCATCCATCCATCCATCCATCCATCCATCCATCCATCCATCCATCCATCCATCCATCCATTGCTCTATAACTTCTTATTATGACGCCCCATTACTTTTAAAACACAACAACAAAAAAGGAAACATACTTAACAAAATATGCTCTTACTGTAGCAGAAACACATCAAGATAACATAATCTAAAGGTTTTAAGGTGACTTCCTATGAGTTTAAGTTTTCCTTGATCCATTAATCCTCTGAGTAATTCTTATTGTTTTTCTTTTATGTTTTCATCATGAGATGAAATGCTGTGAATTGGCACACTATAGATAAACTGAATTTAATTGAGCTGAATGTAAAGCACAGTGAATTGTCTGCCTATATTTAATACTTAATTTCATTCACTTCCATGTATCTAATGTACATTATGTTTTCTAAGTAAGGAAATTGAGTAAAATACAGTCAAGTGGCCAGAAAGAAGTAAAAGAGAAGAGCAGATTTACTAAAAGGAATTGTGGTGATTGGAGTAATGAAGAAAAGATCTGAAGATCAGAAGTTTGTGAGTTAAAAAAAACTTTATGCCGACTTGCAAACAGCTTAAAAAATACTTTCATTTCATCCCTTAGATGTAAGGAAGGACTCTATTCCTGATAGTTTGAAAGTCCAGGCTCATTCCTCACTGCGGATTATTTTACTCATCCACACTTCCTTATTTGATGAAAAGTATTTGCTGAAAGTAAGTTAAGGAAATAGCTTGATTCCCCTGACATTTTCTTGTTTTGAGAAAGAAAGATGCTTTTCATGTATGGCTCTGAGGGCATAATTAGATTTAAGATTACTGATGAATTTAAGTCTTAGATTTTATTTCTGCAGGATAATGTTCAGAGAACATGATACCATCGGGCCTGCAGTTAGTTGCTTTGAGTTTCAGTAGTAGGCTCGTTTTGGAGTTTTTAAGCTCAAACTGATAAGCTTTCAAAGAGAGATTTTTACTTCGGTGAGTGTATTTATTGTTTGTGTGGAAATGCTTTGGTTTCTCTCCACCGTTTTCCTTTTTTCCTCCTACTCTTCTTGTCATTATCTGCATCTCACACTCACAGACATCGGTTTATTCAGTCATGGAGACAGCAGTGGGAGCTGTCAGATCTCAAACAGAAGGGGTTATTCAGCAACAGGGATTCGCATCCAACATGTGCACATTCACAGAAATGCAAGGGGACTTTTCATGCTAATGGACAAAAATGATGCCCATCTTTGCCAGAAACAATAACATCCAAAATCGACCAAATGGATTCCTGTCTAAACATTAGCTTTCCGTGATATCTTGTTTTGCTTTTATACAGATCATAAAACTGAGATGGGATTAAAGTATTTCTATAACAAATTAACTAATAAATGATGGTCATATTAAGTCTATGGTTTAATCAGCCTATATTGTTTGTGTTGGGAAATACACTAAAATTTTGTGATAGTTTCTCAAACTACTTGTTC